GTACGTGCAGCTAAGGCCACCCCCCCCCCCCCGTGCTGAGAGTACCACTCACGGAGCTCCTGGGGCGATGGAGTGCGCTGCTGGCTCTGGCCACTGCCAGCGCCTCCACGACCACCACCGCCGCCGCCACCTCCTCGACCACCCCCTCCCCTGCCGCCGCCACGACCACCGCCGCCCCCACCACCGCCCCCGCCCCTGCCACCTCCCCCGCCGCTGCCGCCACCACCCCCACCGCTGCCACTAGTCCCTCCAGCCCCACCACCACCCCCACCGCCTCCACCGCCCCCACCACCGCCTCCCCCGCCGTCACCTCCGCCTCCCTTGCCCCCTTTGCCCTTGCCGCTGCGGCGCCAGCTCGAAGTGGACGCAGTCCCGACCTTCTCAGCACCAAGGAGGTCGGCAGCAGAAGCAGAGGCTACAGAGGGAAGAAGGGGGGAAGGGGAACACCCCTCAAAGAAAGGGGTGCGGGGGTCGCCACGAGAGGCACCGACAGCGACTATGCTAGCCTCAGCTGCAAGTAGTTCCTTCTCGAGGAGGGCAATGGTGAGCTTAGTGGGGCAGCGAGATAGGAAGTGATCCCTGACTGCACGCAGAGTGTCAGGGAGGCGGGTGACTAGGTGGTAGAGAGTGAGCCAGAGCGGGGGGGGGTTCGTGGCAAGAAACTCATCGGGCATAGTGGCACGGAAGCGGGCTCACTAGTACGGAAGTGCGTGATGAGGTCAGCGACTGTGTGGAAAGAGGCCAGGTCGGGGAACAGGTAGGGGAGTGAGAGACGGCCTAGCGCGGCAGAGGCAGGTGAGGAGTAGCGGGCAACGACAGCTGTGTACAGTGCCTGTGCAGTCTTGTGCTGGCCAAAGTGCTCGCGCTCATCTATCGGCAGGGAGTTGCGAATAGCAAAGCGAGCGTGGGCGTCACGAGTCTGCCACTGTGAGCGGGCAGTGCTGTCAGCAGTAGCAGCAGGGGCAGTGGCATGGCCTAAGGCGTGATCGTACAGTGAGATGTCTTCCTTGGCAGTGAGTTGTAGGAATAGGTGCAGGTCATCGAGCCAGGTGTCAAACTTCACTGGGCGGCCCTCAGCATCGAAAGCTAGCACAGGAGGGCTAGCCATAGTGACAGTAGGAGCAGTAGCAGTAGTAGTAGCAGAAACAGCAGTAGTGACAGTAGCAGTGACAGAATCAGGGGCGCGGCTCGGTAGGGCGGCGCGGCTCGGGCCGGGTGAAGCGGTTCGGTGGGGCGGCTCGGCTCGGCTAGGCAGCGGCTACTCGAGGTGGGGCACGTGAGGGCGTGCAGGGCAGAGTGGGGCGGTCCGCACGGGGCACGAGGTGGCGAGCTAGCTAGGGCGGGGCCTGGTCGCACGAGGCCAGCAAGGGCGGGCTAGTGGGGCGGGGCCGGTACGCTAGGGGCACGCGAGGGCGTGCAAAGCGGCTGCTCTGGGTCCAGGGGCGGCTGCAACAGGGGCGGCTGCTTCAGGGGCCAGGGGCGGCTGCTCTGGTTCCAGGGGCGGCTGCTCGAGGGTCCAGGGGCGGCTGCACAAGGGGCGGCTGCTTCAGGGGCTGTAGCAGCAGTAGCTTCAGTCAGGAGCAGCTGCAGTAAGCGCTGGAGTAGGAGCTGCAGCAGTAGCACTAGCTGTAGCAAGTGTAGTAGTAGGAGCTGCAGCAGTAGCACTAGCTGTAGCAAGTGTAGTAGTAGGAGCTGCAGCAGTAGCACTAGCTGTAGCAAGTGTAGTAGTAGGAGCTGCAGCAGTAGCACTAGCTGTAGCAAGTGTAGTAGTAGGAGCTGCAGCAGTAGCACTAGCTGTAGCTGGAGTAGTTTCAGACAAGAGTAGCTGTAGCAAGTGCCGTAGTAGCAGTGGCAGCAGTAGCACTAGTTGTAGCAGCACTAGCTTCAGTAGCAGCAGCAGTGAGTAACAGTAACACGGGCCGCGTGCGGGCCAGTCGCGGGCTGTAAGGGCTGCGTGCGGGCCTGGCGCGGGCTTTACGCGCTGGGTGCGAGCCTGACGTGAGCTGTACGGGCTGCGCGACGGCCTGGCGCGGGCTGTACGGGCTGCGCGACGGCCTGGCGCGGGCTGTACGGGCTTCGCGACGGGTCTACGCGGGCTGTACAGGCTTCGCGACGGGCCTACGCGGGCTGTACGGGCTTCGCGACGGGCCTACGTGGGCTGTACGGGCTTCGCGACGGGCCTACGCGTTCAGGGGGGGGTCGCACGTGACTAGGAGGGAAAAAAATCGCGTCTAGGGAACCGTCTCGCCTAGAGCACGGTTTCGAATTTCGCATTTCTCCTAGGGGCGCGACTCGGGCAGTAGATCGAAATAGTAGTGGTGGGCCCTTTTTAAAAAATCGGTCCTAAGGAGCATTGTGCTCTTAATACCATGTTAGAATCACTAGCTAGGGAACGAGAAAATTGATGATTAGGTGAAGATTGGGGTACAAGACTAGAGTGTCGAGACTATTTGTGTACCCCCTAAGGCTAGCCCCAATATAGCCTAGATACAATTATGCATATGTTTTGACACCAGTGTACGCCTATCGGATTGGCCCACATGTCGTATTTGAAACCACTATTTACCTTGACAGCTGGCACATAATATCTATACACGTGGCGTTCAGACGTACACGTGGCATATGTCACATATATGTGACACATATGTGACTGGTCATGTCACTTTTCAGTTGCTGGAACCCTCGCTGCAAAGTTGCGGCAAAGTTGCGGAGAAGTCACTTCGCACGTATCCCTGACCCTGTAGCCTTTGACCTAGACTTTTTTCTTGCGGAACTCAAGTTGCTTTCCCGCAACTTTGAAGTTGCGGGAAAGCAACTTTTCGGGCCTTGCACTTTCGCGATGCAAGCATAATTTCAAGGTATGTGGTTTTCAACCCATTTCTCAATAGAAGAGTTTCATTTTGGACCTTTCACAAGTCTGACTCAGCGCACAACCCTTATTTGCTTGAAACGTGACCCACTCAGCATAGATATATTTCCTGACAGTGAGAAGTCACCTTCATTCGAATGTGTGGTTTTCAACCCTATTTTTTCCAAGTCTTAACTCAGCGAACAACCCTTATTTGCTTTAACCTTGGCCCACTCAGCTCAAATATACTGACAGCGAGAAACTAGCTTCATTCGATGTTTTGTTTGCCTCACCATTCATCCCCTCTGTTTCAGATCACCACCAACAGTGGAATTTTGCTTGCTGAAGTTCATCAGAACCTCTTGGATGCAAGGAAATACGTTTTCGATGCGCAGACGTACTTCATTCGAATCATGCCGAATGTGGACATGGCACTTGTTCTTGCTCTTGTAGCATTGGCGGATGCTCTGTTAGTGGACGAAGATGTCTGAGTTTCTGAGGTACACCATGGCGTGACCTCAACGTGCCAGATTTGCACATGCATGTGGTCTAGCCTTGATCCCTCCGGATGTGTGTTTCTGTACAACTATCTAGTCACTTCTTACTGGCTTAGGTTGAACAAGCCCATTAAAGCTGCAGTATACATTTGTCAGCTGGGTCTAGGGTTTTTATTGTGTGCCTCACAGCTTTGGGGCAACTTTTCAAATTTCAAAAGTTTTTTAACCCAACCTTTCAAATGTATACTGCAGCTTTAATGAAATACCTGCAGAGTTAAATTGTTATGGTGCTACGATCATAAAGATGATCCAATGACATAATGTACAATGGGTAGATCCAGTGCATCTGGTGCATTGTCCAAATTAGTCGATTTCCTCGGCCTCCAGCATTCATGCAAGCACAGGCCACGTCACCCGACTCGAATCCTCCAAATTTTGGTGAGCTCAACGGGTTACTTGTGTCCAGTCACGTTTCGCCAAATTCGCCGTCAACCTCTGGATCGATCGCTGCCGTCGCGCAGGACAACAGTTCCCAGGAAACAGCCAATAGAAGAGGAGGGAGATGTGCGATGGGGAAGGGCAACTAGCCAGCCAAGCAACCAAATCAGCCATGACACACCTCTCTACGGGAAATCGCGCTACCGCATAACACCACGGATAGCTGCAATATACCGATCTTCACCGAAATCACAACCGCAGATTCGAACTTCGACCTCTCCCGCCAAAGCTCCACCAGGTTCCTCCACAGCAAGCAATAGGTGCTTCTTTATCGGGTCGTTCTGGAAATAATTCGCACCACAGAGTCATTAGGTGTGATTCACCTGGTAGCAGTCCTCGTTGAACCACTCTGTGTCATCAGCGGCGAAATTTTGATCCGTGTACCTCGCCGGATTTCCCGGTCTTGATTGTCGCACATTCCACGGTTCCGAGTCGGCTTCCATGGCCACCTCGCTTTCCTCACGCTGCCTTACGCCGGCATCAGGCGTCGTGAATGTCGAATTGAGGAGCTCGTTCGTCGGTTCCCGGGTTTCACTCGCTCAGGCGAAGCCGTGTGTGGTAACCACATTTCGCGGCACGGGTGTCAGATGCGAGGCGGGTTCTGCTCGGCAGCGAAAGCACAACGTGTCGGCGAACGCTCAAGCGGTTGAAGCAGAGGGAGCGACGCAGACGCTGAACATCGCAGAGGATGTTACGCAGGTTACCATTCGTTTCCTTCAAAGAATGTTTTGTATTTCTAGCCAGTAACGCATTCTTCGCGCCGTCCGCTGTGTTTCTCAGGAATTCGTTTTCTAGACGCCGATGAGAGTAATTTGTGCATTAACATCGCAATCCCCATTTTTCCCTGTTTTCATTGATCATTGACCCAGCTGATCGGCAGCACCCCCATGGTGTATTAACAAGGCTGTTGATGGCGCCTCAGCTCATCTATCACCCTCTGTCCCTGTGCCTCTCCCTTTTTCCCTTCCTCATTGACCGTCATACCAGCTCATCGGCAGCACGCCCATGGTGTATCTCAACAGTCGTCCATGTTCCCTCACCTGTCACCCCCTGTCTGTCCCCGTGCCTTCCCTTGTGTATCATTGACTTTCGTCCCAGCTCATCGGCAGCACGCCCATGGTGTATCTCAACAAGGTTGTTGATGGTGCCTCACCCCCATGCTCTATTTGTGCCTTTCCTTCACTGATTGTCGACCCACCCAGCTGATCGGCAGCACGCCCATGGTGTATCTCAACAAGGTTGTGGATGGCGCCTCATCTATAACCCTCTGTCCCCATGCCTTTTCTTTGGTATCATTGATCGTCTCACCAGCTGATCGGCAGCACGCCCATGGTGTATCTCAACAAGGTTGTGGATGGCGCCTCATCTATAACCCTCTGTCCCCATGCCTTTTCTTTGGTATCATTGATCGTCTCACCAGCTGATCGGCAGCACGCCCATGGTGTATCTCAACAAGGTTGTGGATGGCGCCTCATCTATAACCCTCTGTCCCCATGCCTTTTCTTTGGTATCATTGATCGTCTCACCAGCTGATCGGCAGCACGCCCATGGTGTATCTCAACAAGGTTGTGGATGGCGCCTCATCTATAACCCTCTGTCCCCATGCCTTTTCTTTGGTATCATTGATCGTCTCACCAGCTGATCGGCAGCACGCCCATGGTGTATCTCAACAAGGTTGTTGAAGGCGCCGTGGCAACCATCGCAGGAAAGCTCGAAATCATGGAGCCCTGCTGCAGCGTCAAGGACAGGTGCGCTGCTTGAATCGCTGTCTTGATTAGAGCTGTCAGCACTTATGAGAGCTATATTAATCATGGATCCCTGCTGCAGCGTCAAGGACAGGTGCGCTGCTTGAATCGCTGTCTTGATTAGAGCTGTCAGCACTTATGAGAGCTATATTAATCATGGAGCCTGCTGCAGCGTCAAGGACAGGTGCGCTGCTTGAATCGCTGTCTTGATTAGAGCTGTCAGCACTTATGAGAGCTATATTAATCATGGAGCCTGCTGCAGCGTCAAGGACAGGTGCGCTGCTTGAATCGCTGTCTTGATTAGAGCTGTCAGCACTTATGAGAGCTATATTAATCATGGATCCCTGCTGCAGCGTCAAGGACAGGTGCGCTGCTTGAATCGCTGTCTTGATTAGAGCTGTCAGCACTTATGAGAGCTATATTAATCATGGATCCCTGCTGCAGCGTCAAGGACAGGTGCGCCACTCTGATCCATTCATTCGCTCGTTTAGAGCTACAACGTTGCTGCAGTGAATCCGTGTTGCATTTAGAGCGCTGTTCGTTTTCCAACTTCTGAGATCTCCTGCACTCGACTTCCACATTTTATTTGAAGAAGTTGTGTGTTCCTTCCCCTCCTCACGCTCTGTCTGTCACAATACAGAATCGCGTACAGCATGATCAACGATGCGGAGGAGCGAGGTGTCATTGCTCCTGGCAAGGTCAGCATTTGCTCGTGAAGGCTGGCCTGTGGTCTTGCAGGCCGGCATGGTTCTTTACCAGGCTTCACTGCGTTCTGTTCAAATATGGAACATCGTCCTGGTCTGGTCTGGTCTGGTCGACCACTTGCAGCATTCTCAGTGTCGCATGCTGTCATCTGTTCGTCCTCTCTCAGAGTTTCCCCGGTGTCTTCAGATTGCTCCCTTTCACTCACCTATTATGGCGTGCTGGGCCGACCATATGTCTCTGTGTTTCGCATCGTCGTGAAGCCCATGTTCTCGCTCGTGGCGGCTTGAACAGGGTCATGTGTTGTGTCCCACTGTTATCCTGTGTCTCCCTCGTCCCTTCCCTTCCCCCATTTCCCACTAAGCAGAGCGTGCTGGTGGAGACGACGTCGGGCAACACGGGCATCAGTTGCCTTGGGCTCATATGTGCCCGTCTTCCTCCCCTCTTCCCCCTTTCGTCCCCCCCAGAGCGTGCTGGTGGAGCCGACGTCGGGCAACACGGGCATCGGCTTGGCGTTCATAGCAGCGGCGAGGGGCTACAAGCTCGTCCTCACCATGCCCGCCTCCATGAGCCTCGAGCGCCGCGTGCTGCTCAAGGCCTTCGGGGCCGACCTCGTCCTCACAGACCCCGCCAAGGGCATGAAGGGCGCTGTGAGCAAGGCGGAGGAGATTGTGAAGAGCACCAAGAACGCCTACATGCTGCAACAGTTTGAGAACCCTGCGAATCCCAAGGTAACTTGTCAAGCCTTCGTGTTTTCCAATGAATGAATGCGCGGTTCTGAAGGGGCTGGGCTTGTTCTGATCTGAGACGTTTTACGCATGTTATTGCTTTGGGACGCTTCGTTAGCTTTGGAAGGCGTTTGGGGCGGACCCGGTGCTCACAGACCTGTTGTTGACCCAGTGCTCACAGACCTGTTGTTGACCCAGTGCTCACAGACCTGTTGTTGACCCAGTGCTCACAGACCTGTTGTTGACCCAGTGCTCACAGACCTGTTGTTGACCCAGTGCTCACAGACCTGTTGTTGACCCAGTGCTCACAGACCTGTTGTTGACCCGGTGCTCACAGACCTGTTGTTGACCCAGTGCTCACAGACCTGTTGTTGACCCAGTGCTCACAGACCTGTTGTTGACCCGGTGCTCACAGACCTGTTGTTGACCCAGTGCTCACAGACCTGTTGTTGACCCAGTGCTCACAGACCTGTTGTTGACCCAGTGCTCCGGGACTCTACCAAGGGCGTGAAGCGCGAATCGTGCTGCCACTTTCCTCTGGTTGATATTCTTTGCTGGGTTTTGTTTTTGTTGCGTGGTGCAGGTGCACTTTGAGACGACGGGGCCTGAGATCTGGGAGGACACTAACGGGCAGGTGGACATCCTTATAGCGGGGATAGGCACGGGGGGCACCGTCACTGGCGTGGGGCGCTACCTGCGCAGCAAGAAGCCTGGCGTCAAGGTGGGTGTGACTGTAACGAGGGGGAGAGGTGGCGCTAGCACTAGTAGTATGTGTCAATGTGAGCACTAGTATGGGCGTTTGAGGAGCAACCTGTTCCTGTCTGCCTTTTCCGCCAGCCTCCCTCTTCCCTTCTTCCCTGTCCCCGCTTCCTGCCTCCCCCCTTCCCACCCGTTTTTCCCCGTTCCCGAAACGGTCGCAGATAATTACTGTAGAACCCAAGCAAAGCGCCATTCTTTCCCCCCCCTAACGTCCCTCTCACCCCCATCTCCCCTCCCTCTCCCCCCCGACCCCTCCTTCCGCCTTCCCCCAACCCTTCCCCCCACGCCCCCTGTCAACTGCTACAGATCATTGGCGTGGAGCCCAAGGAGAGCGCCATTCTGTCCGGTGGCAAGCCAGGTACGGGTTGAGGCCTGCAGGTATGGGCTGAGGGAGGTACGGGCCAAGGAAGGTATGGGTCGAGGGAGGTATGGGTCGAGGGAGGTATGGGATGAGTCTGGTATGGGTCAAGGCAACGGGCGGAGGTAGGTATGGGCGGAGGCAGGTATGGGCGGAGGCAGGTATGGGCGGAGGCAGGTATCACTGGAGGCATGTACGGGCGGAGGCTGGTACGGGCGGGGCGGAGGCAGGTACGGGCGGGGCGGAGGCAGGTACGGGCGGGGCGGAGGCAGGTACGGGCGGGGCGGAGGCAGGTACGGGCGGAGGCGGCATTCACACACGAACCTGTACTGTAAATGTTCATGCTCGGCAAGCATGATGACCGCGCACATGACACGGCTTTTTGTTGCCCTCATCACTTGGTTCCCTCAAGCGGTCCATGACCGAGCGAGAACAGACATGCACGTGAATATATATAACATGCATTTCAGCTTCTACCCCCCCCCATATCCTCATCACTTGGTTCCCTCTCTCTCTTTCCCCCTGTGCAGGTCCGCACAAGATCCAGGGCATCGGTGCCGGGTTTGTGCCGGGCATTCTGGACGTAGGACTGCTGGACGAGGTCATTCCGGTACGTTCCTGCTTTGCTTGCACTAGCATGAGTAGCGCATGCATCATGCCATCATGATCTGTGAAACAGTCATCACGCCGAACCGTCGCCTGGAACGTGCATTCTGGAAGTGGCGGGCGTCTTTGTGGAGGAAGTAGTCCTCCTTTGCGCTCCTTCGAGTACCTTCCATTCCATAGAGTTCTAACAAGCCATGTGCCCTCCTTTGTTGGATATGTGATCGCCCCTCTCCCTCTCTCTGCAGGTCAGCAGCGATGACTCGGTGGCCATGGCCAAGGACCTTGCAATCAAGGAGGGATCGTCTGTGTTCACACAGATTGTTTTACCCCATCATGCTCCCATGTCTCCCCCCTTACATCGTGCTCTCTCTGCAGGTGAGCAGCGATGACTCAGTGGCCATGGCCAAGGACCTCGCAGTCAAGAAGAGTTTGTGTTTACACTGAGTTTGTCTTCACCCCATCTTGCCCTCATGTCTCCCTTTTTACATCGTGCTCTCTCTGCAGGTGAGCAGCGATGGCTCGGTGGCAATGGCCAAGGACCTTGCATTGTTTGAGACGCATCACAATCCTGTGCCTTCCTCCCTCACTTTCCACTCCCTATTCACACATCCTCTCTGCAGGTGAGCAGTGATGACTCGGTGGCCATGGCCAAGGACCTTGCAGTCAAGGAGGGATTGCTGGTACGCTTCCTCTTCCCACATTCCTCTGCCCGCCTCTCCTCGCTCTTTCGGGTTAACTCTGATCTTGTCGCCTAGAGTTTCTTGAGCCTACTCCGAAGGTGATATTTGGTGGACTCTCTTGCCTAAAAAGCAGGCACATCTTCTTATGATTATCAGCGATTCTCAGAATTGTCCCTACCACCATTCTATCCCTGCTCTCTGTTCCAATCTCCCTCCTTCCTGAGAATAGAATAAAAGAAATCACGTCTCTCTGTAATTCGCTGCTTGTGCAGGTGGGAATCTCGTCAGGAGCGGCGGTGGTGGCGGCTCTTCAAGTGGCCAAGCGGCCTGAGAATGCCGGCAAGCTTATTGTTGTGAGTTGTATCCCTCTCTCTTTCCCCCTTCTGACAAGTCTGACTCACTTCTGATTATCCTTGAGAGCGACTTGTCGTCGTTAGCAACTCTTGGTAACCCTCCTGCTCGCAAGTCTTGCAAAGCCTCCATACATCATGTTGAGTGTGTTCTTGTCACTCTCCCACGCTCGTGTGGGTAGCCCACTCACACTTCTCTCCACTCCACTCTTTGCACCGCATCATTTCGAAATTCTCTTCACTTGCATCACTTTTCTCTTCTCATCACTTCTTCTGAGAAATACATGTGGTGCTCCCCCAGCTTTGGGGCCACCACATGTACTCCTCGGTGCTCTCGCCCTTTCTCACTCACACTCCCTCCCTCCCTCTCCATCCTCCCTCTCCCCCTCCCTGTCACAGCACTCAGGTGGTGTTGCCCAGCTTTGGAGAGTGCTACCTGTCGTCAGTGCTCTTCCCTTTCCTCACTCACACCCTTGCCCTGCACTTTGCTCCATTCTGCCCTCTCCTCCCCCTTCCCTCCCCGTCACGCCACCCAGGTGGTTCTGCCCAGCTTTGGAGAACGCTACCTGTCGTCAGTGCGCTTGTCGTTTCCCACTCACACTCCTCCATCCTGTTCCATTCCTCGTCCCCTCCTGTTGCATCCCAGGTGGTGTTGCCGAGCTTTAACGACCTGTCGTCAGTGCTCTTCTCTTTCCTCACTCACACCCTTGCCCTGCATTTCGCTCCATCCTGGCCCCCCCTCCCCCCCTCCCTCCCTGTCACAACACACAGGTGGTGCTGCCGAGCTTTGGAGAGCGCTATTTGTCGTCAGTCCTCTTCTCTGCTCTGCGGACAGAGGCAGAGCAGATGACACCCTCCGTCTGAGATGACATGACATGACACCCTCGGCCTGAAATGAAACGCGCCTTCTGGTTCGAGATGTGACATCCGGAGTCCGATATAATCTGAGCATCGAATACATTTTCGTTCGATGTGTTTCCTTCTGTAACATGAGTATGGCATTGATCTTCCACCAGACGGTAGCGCACTTACTTTTCTTCTTCTTCCAAACTGGCTCACGCCAGCTTCTGTGATGCGCTTTTCTGGCTTTTTTTTTTTCCGGTTACCAATTAGACCGATAACCGTAAGGTCATAACATTGGCTAAGCTACATACAAGACGGTGAGAGCCAGGAAGAGGCGAAAGCTTCCTTTTCGCGTACGAGGCCTCGTTATCTGCTCTTCAATCTCTCATGTATCCCAGATGACCCTTTGCATTTGGTGCTGCGTTTTGTAGGGAATTTTTCAGATAATATTCCATCTACAGTCAGGAATACGCAGTAATTCCTAACGAAGCAACAGAAATGCCGCTGTTTCAAAAAAGCTGCTGCACCCTCCTTGTCAGGCGAGGCTCTCATCTGAGCCGCCTGTTTCTGTGACAAATCATGCGCTGGCCGTCGATCGCCATTCAGCACATACCCGCCAACGGCTCGATACGACATGAGCAGCGAAAGCGTCATCGCACATGTGCTAATGGGAGTAGAACCAGGGGGTCGGCTCCTCCTCCTTCTCCACTCCATAACGTAGAGTTCGTGTTTCTCTCGGGTTTCAACGTGATTGTCCGTGTGGTGCTGGGACCTCTGTTTCACCTCTCCCTCGCTCGCACGCACATCACCTTGCCGCGTAGGAATGTTCCGCGCATCGCGGCGCGTCAAAAATTTCGATATTGAAACACTCTGTCAAATGGTTTTGTTTGATCCGTTACTCTGTAGACGGGCCGCTCCTTTGATTCGCCCGTTCCTTTGATTAGGTAAAGAAGCACTGACCCACTAGCACTAGCCAACTGCCAACCTATCATTGCCAATCGACTGGTAACCGGCTGTTACCGACTGCTAACCAGTTGCGAGCGGACTTTTAACCGTCAATGGAGAGCGAGCGCGAGAAGCGGAAGCGGGAATGGGCGGCGAAGTCGCTAGCGGAGGCGGAGGAGCGGAGAGTGCGGAAGGCGGTGCGCGCGGCGCTGGGTAAGGCGGAGAGCGCGAGGAGCGACGAGGAGAGGCAGCTGTTGGAAGCCAACGGTCAAATCGCACTCGAGGTGAGAAGGTCGCATGTCGTCTCATGGCGTCGCATGGCGTCTCATGGCGTCGCACGTCGTGTCACACCCCCTCACGGCTTCCCACCTCCTGAAAGCCCGTCAATTGGGTGGTCCGCATTTCTCGTGGTGACCATTGCCCGCCCCAGTGACCGTTGCTAAATGTCTTCTGTTTCATCTGAATCCTCGGCCTCGTGCCAAGTGTCACCAGAAAATGCAGGGTGATGTTTCGTGGGTGGGTGGGGGGCGGCCTGCTTTTGCGAATTGCTTTGAGGTGATTTTCGAGGCGCCTCAAAAATCACCTCAATGTTTCGTGGGTGGGTGGGGGGTGGCCTGCTCTTTGCAGATTGCTCTCAAGCAGTGGATTGGTTAGAACCTTGAAAGTCGACTCAGAGGAATCTATTACCACCTTCTTGCTCTGTGCGTTGCAGATCACTCAGTCGTTGGAGAAAGCAAAGGAACGGCAGCAGCAGAAGAAAGAGCGGATGCAAGAGGTTCGTTGCTGCTTTCGACTGCTCGCATAGTGTTGTCACGGCACAGTTGATATCTTTCCAAGTCAGGTTTCTTGTTTTGAAGCATCTCATCGCTTGCATGTATACTTACAAATATGGGCCACACTTTTACCACCGAATGTGGCTGTGGTAGTGCTGACACAGAAGGGGGTGCGGGGGATTGATGGGGGGTTGTGGTTGTGCGATCAGAGGGGGACAAAAGATAGAGGGTCGGATGGGATGGGATGCCGCTCAGAGGGAGTGAAGGCCGTCGGGGCCACGTGTGCACTCTCCCAGCCTGCGCCATCGCTGCCACTGCAACCACCCTGTAATAGTGCATCGTCACCTACCCACATCCACCATTTGTACCCACTCCAACCCAACCCAACCCACTGTTCTGGTGCCACCACGTGTTCCTTCCATGTGTCTGCTTCACCCAATCATGGCAACTCTTTCTTACACTCACAACCCACCGTTCTGAGTCACCACGTGTTGCACTATTCCAGCCCGCACCATCGCTGCCGGCGCATATTACCACACCACCGCAGCCAGCCCAGCTGGATTTTCAAGAGAACATCCTTTTCTCAACCCACCGTTCGGCTGCACTTGCCGTTCTGAGTCTGAACCAACCCAGCCTGCACCATCGCTGCCCCTACAACCACCCTGCACCACCTTCTAGCTACTTATTTGCACCCACCATTCGGCCGCACCCACCATTCTGAGTCACCACGTGCGGCACTATCCCAGCCCCACCATCGCTGCCACAGCTGCTCACCACCACCACTGCCCTGCCACCCCAGCTTGTTTTACAACATAACCTGAGTAGCTTTCCTTTCCCACCCCAACCCGCCGTTCTGAGTCACCGCGTGTTGCACTACCCCAGTCTGAGCTGGCAGCGGAGCTAGTTCTACTATTGAAAAGCATAGCTTTCTCAACCCACCGTTCTGTGTCACCACGTGCTGCACTACCCCAGCTCCCACCATCGCTGCCACCGCCATGTGTCCCAGCGTGGGCGAAGCTTCCTCGTACTTTCTCCCCATGGCCGCCGCAGCTTCCTCCCACCTTCCCGCCCCCTGCAGCGTCCACACGCCCTTGGGCCCTCTGAAATCCGGAATGCCTGCTGCTGTGCTCAGCCCCGCCCCACTGTGAACCACCACGCCCCCTCTCATTCTTTTCGCCCCTGCCACAGCTGCTGATTCTGCTGCGACTGCTTCTGCTCCTGTTGCAACCGCTGCGTCTGCTCCTGCCTCCGCCGCTGCTGCTGTCCCTGCTGCTGCTGCTTGGCTTTTGTCCCCCGCTTTCCCGAATCTCCCGCACTCCAGCACCAACCGCAGCAGCTGCTGAAGCTTCGCCTCTACTAGCTCGGGGGGGTCCTCCTCCTGTGCGGATGGCGCAAGGGGGGTGCAGCGAGGGGAGGGGCGAAGGGGAGGGGGAAGGCTGGGAGAGTGCACACGTGGCCCCGACGGCCTTCACTCCCTCGGAGCGGCATCCCATCCCATCCGACCCTCTATCTGAGCCGCATGGGTTGGTGTACAGGGAGAGATGCCGGGAGTGTGGGGCGAGGTCCCTGTGCCCTCGTCTTTCCAAATTCCTTTCTGTTTCCCCTTCCACTCTCCAACCCTTTTTTACCCATTCCCTCTTACTTCCCGATATCCATTTTCTCCCCCAATCAGTGGACGGCCTTCACTCCCTCGAAGCAGCATCCCATCCCATCCGACCGTCTATCTGAGCCGCATGGGTCGGTGTACAGGGAGAGATGTTGGAGCCTCGGAGGTTGTGGGGGGGTTCTCGTTTTCCTCTCACTTCCCTCTCACTTCCCTCCTACTTCTTTTCTCACACTTTCCCCCTACCCATACTCCCTCCTGTCAACCTCCCCTCCTCACCAGTGGACGGCCTTCACTCTAGAAGTGGCATCCCATCAAGCCGTCTATCAGAGCTGCATGGATCAGTGTATCGCGAGAGATGCTCTGAGTGTGAGGCCAAGTGCCTTTTCCTCTCACTCCCGTCCAACCATTCACTGTCCCGTCCACCTCCCCTCCTCACCAGTGGACGGCCTTCATTCCAGAAGTGGCATCCCATCGAGCTGTCTATCAGTGCGGAGCGAAGTACCTTTCCCTCTCACTCCCGTCGACCCGTACTCTGTCCCGTCCACCTCCCCTCCTCATCAGTGGACGGCCTTTACTCCAGAAGCGGCATCTCATCGAGCCGTCTATCAGACCTGCATGGATCAGTGTACCGGGAGAGGTGCCAGGAGTGTGGGGCGAAGCACCTTTCCCCCTCCCCCTTTCCCCTCACTCCCCTCTCACATCCTCTTCACTCATACTCCCTCCCGTCACCGCTCTGCTCTCCCAGTTGACGGCCTTCACTCTACAAGTGGCATCCCATCAAGCAGTCTGTTAAGGTTGCATGGCTCAGTGTACCGGGAGAGGTGCCAGGAGTGTGGGTTGATTGAAGTACCTTTCTCTCTCTCACTTTCCTCTCGCTCCCCTCTCACTTCCCCTCCACCCATACTCCCTCCTATCCGCCTTCCCTCCTCACCAGTGGACGGCCTTCACTCTCGGAGCGGCATCCCCCCTCACCGTCTATCGGAGCTGCATGGGTCGGTGTATCGCGAGAGGTGCCGGGAGTGTGGGGCCAAGTACCTGCGTCCGTTTGATGTCACGGCGGCTAGAGGCTCCTCCTACCATCGCCACAAGACCGGACGGCTGTGCACCTCCATGGCTGGTGCTGGCGCTGGTGCTGCTGCATGTGCCAGTGGTGGTGGTGTTGATGCTGCTAAATCAGCTCACGCTGCTGTTGATGTATCAGCCAGGTGTAACGAGAGGGAGCGGAAGGAGGTGGAAGAGGAGGAAGAGGAGGATAAGCAGCAGAGGGTGCCACGTGTTCAGAATTCCGTTCAAAATTCTGTTCAGAATCCTGTTCGGAAGCCAAGAAGTTCTGCAAAGGTGCGAGCTCAGGTGTCCACAGGAGGAGGGGGCAGTGTGAAAGAGGAGAGCCAGGAGGTGCTGGTGGTGGGTGAGTGGGGGAGGCAGGGGCATGAACCTGGAGCGGCGACTTCGAGTGATATTGAAGAAAGTCCTGGAGTGGTGATTGGAAGTGGGGAGCGTCATGAGGATAAAGAGGGTGACGAAAGGATGGGCGAGGAGGGTGTTGTGAGGAGATGGCGAGAGGCAGAGGAAAAGCAGCAGAGGGGGAGAGGGGAGGAGAAGAATGAAGTGACAAGAGAGTGTGAGGGCAGGGGAGCATGGGAAGAGGAGCAAGAAGGGGTGAAGAAGGGAAGGGAGGAGGAGGACGATGAGGAGAGAGGGGAGGATAGGCGCGAGGGTGGGGCCGTGTGTGGGGGCGAGTTGGTGGATTTGATAGTGCACTTTGGGGAGAGGATAGACGATGAGGAGTTGAGTGAGGCGAGGGAAGCAAGCACGGGCGCACACGTGGCACTGTGCCTGGCTCCTCCTTCAAGGTTTGTTCTGTTTGTGTTCAGTTGCTCAGAAGCTTCCTGTATTACTTGAATGTACTCCGTATGCCAAGCACGGATCACGAGCAAGCATGGCCGCACACGGGGCGCTGTGTTTGGGCTCCTCCTTCAAGGTGCGTCTGAGTGATGAAGATCCGTTTGCATTCACTTGCTAGAATATCTTGATTATAGCAAGCGTGGATCAGGATTCCATAAGTCACGCATGGACGCACACATGGCGCTGTGCCTTGGCTCCTCCTTCAAGGTGCGCTCTGTTTGTGTTCATTTGTTAGTAAGCTTTCGTATTTTGTGAGAATATATTCCTTAGGGCAAGCGCAGATCATGAGCCCTCACGGGCGCACACGTGGCGCTCTGCCTTGGCTCCTCCTTCAAGGTGCATTTGATTGATGGAGGTCTGTTCAGTGGCCATTCTACTGAACCGCCGCAGCTTCAAGCCACTCTAATCCTTTTCTGCATCATGCATAACACAAGGAGCTGAGAGCATGGGCTGGAAGGGAAGGAGGTCGTTCAGGCAACACGAATGGATGGGCGCAGTCTCCTTCTCTCCCCTCAATCAACCCACGGGTTCCCACTAACTTGTAAGCTTCCACTTTGCCACCCACATCTTTGGCACCAATCAGCCTTCATCACAAGCCCTTTGACATTGCAGGGTGTTTTTGAGAATTCTAAGAAACACGCGTTACTGCTCCTACAATCCCCTTAACTGCTTCGCTCCGCGCACCCCCACCAGGTGCCTTTTGAGTCGACTCAAAAGGTGCCCCCACCAGGTGCCACGAGCCAGAGAGCTCCCTCGCCTGGCCCGCCAACCAGATAGTCTGCAGCGACCCAGTCACCTTCTGCGCACACCTCTCGGCTGCCACGTGTGTTCGTAAACTGTTACCCATACTATCTCCACCCCTGGTGCTTCGTTTTCCTCACCCCATCCAGGTGCCACCAGCCAGCAAACTCCCTCGCCTAGCAACTCATCTGGTGATCATCAACCTTCAGCGCACGCCTCTCGCACTGACGCCGTTCTCCCCCTCTTTCTCTCCTCCTCCCTCTCCTTACTCCCACCAGGTGCCACCAGCCAGCAAACTCCCCCGCCTAGCAACTCATCTGGTGATCATCAACCTTCAGCGCACGCCTCTCGCACTGACGCCGTTCTCCCCCTCTTTCTCTCCTCCTCCCTCTCCTTACTCCCACCAGGTGCCACCAGCCAGCAAACTCCCCCGCCTAGCAACTCATCTGGTGATCATCAACCTTCAGCGCACGCCTCTCGCACTGACGCCGTTCTCCCCCTCTTTCTCTCCTCCTCCCTCTCCTTACTCCCACCAGGTGCCACCAGCCAGCAAACTCCCCCGCCTAGCAACTCATCTGGTGATCATCAACCTTCAGCGCACGCCTCTCGCACTGACGCCGTTCTCCCCCTCTTTCTCTCCTCCTCCCTCTCCTTACTCCCACCAGGTGCCACCAGCCAGCAAACTCCCTCGCCTAGCAACTCATCTGGTCATCATCAACCTTCAGCGCACCCCTCTCGACCGCCACAAGTATAAATGCTCCTACTTCTTTACTCCTTTGTTCCTCTCACCCCATCCAGGTGCCACCAGCCAGCAAGCTCCCCCGCCTGGCGACCCACCTGGTGATAATCAACCTCCAACGCACCCCTCTCGACCGCCACGCTTCCATCACCATCCGCGCTCGCATCGACGCCGTTCTACCCCGCCTGCTGCATCTGCTGCACCTCCCCCTGCCCGCTTACCTCCCCCATTCAGACCCCCTCCTTTCCCTCCCCAGCACTCGTCTCCACTCCCTCACACACACTATTCGCCTCCCCCTCTCCTGCATTCCTCCACCTTCCCCATCGCCCAAGCGGAGCACGCAAGCTGCAGAGGAAAAGGGAAAAGACGAGACTAATACATTGCCTCAGAAGGTGCGAGCATGAAACATTTCATTTTAAAAGAGTGCTCCATTCTTTTTTTTTGTTTTCCTCTTCTTCTTCATAAGTTTTCTTCCAAGTCGTCCTTTTCAGCACGGATTCTTGCCACGTGGCAGAGCTGATTGACACGTGCATTGGGTCTCGGATGTGGGTGACCTCAAGGGATGCTCCCTTCGCGTTGCGTGACTCGCTATGATACGCGCACGTGGCAGCTGAAGGGATTGTTTGCACCAGTTCTCTTTCTACTGCCATCCTTACTGACATTCTCTTTTCACTGCAACCCCGATCGATTGCTTGTCAGTGGCAAGGGGATGCCACGCCCATTCTCGTTCCCTCTGCTACCACTGCGGCTTGCTAACCACCACGATTTCACAAGCCAGTAATGTTCCAAGTGTTGGTGGGGACAGAGCCAAGCCCAATTTCATTCTCCCTGCTAACACTGTCGTGTGCTGACCCCCGTCATTGAACAGGACAATGTTCCAAGTGCTAGTGGAGGTAGCACCAGGCCCATTCTCTTCTTGCACAAGGCAACGGGGACCAAGGGGAGGAGGAAGAAACAGAGAGCTAGGACCTCGTTTCCTCGCCCGAACATGTGAGCTTCAGGCAATGATGTTGGTTGATGTATCGTGTCGTGTTGTTGCATGTGAGCTACTGCAACAGTGTTTTCAGAAATATTGCTCTCGAAAGCAACAGTTTCATCAAAAGCGCAAGCGACAAAAACATCCATCTTGTGTGAATCCTTGCCAACTTCGTCACTCGAGTAATATCTTGCCAAAAGAAGTGACGAGTGGTGGTACCGGGTGACCATCCGTGACAAATTAGCCAATTAAAGGTGACCATTCAAAGGATTCGTGACTGACCATATTTGAGTTTGTACTATCTCACGAAGTTTGTGAGTGTCCAGGACAAAGAAACAAGTTAGTTCGTATGAATAAATCAACGACGGGGTATGATTTCTTTTGTGTGCAGCCGAAAAGGCTGTTAGAGCGTACGACAGATGATGTGGCGAAACTGGCCGAGCCACAGCGATGTGCGGATTGCCCGTCCGAAATGTCGTGGATATGCGACGGTTACAAGAAGAACCGTGTAATTTATTTGCGCGATTTGTTTTGCGAGCCACTCTGTTGCGCTCGGGTAGGTCAACGACGAGAAATTTTCTCGCAGCATGAATATGTGCCTCCTGTATCATTTTTCCTAGCAAATACAAAAGCGTTGGAGTAGACTCTGTTGGACGGCTAGCTGTTTGAGTGACGGTTTCAGTCGGAGAGTAAGAACCTCAAACAGCCTGCCAGGATAGATTCACAAGCTGCTACCTTCACTTTCTAGAAGTCGCATTTTAGTCACCCATATAATGCACGTGCTGGTCTTGTGAGATTTTCTCCTATTCGCACATCCCCGCTGCTGAAGCTTGAAAGCCACAGAAGGAAGCGATGAACGGGAAAGGGCACCGCGTTGTGCCGCTGATTCGTGATTCGTCCACGACAGTGCATCGCGTCCTCCTCTCTCCAATAATTTCATCTCTGCGACTCACTCGAGTCGCACCACCTGATTTTAGACGCCCCCGCCAATCATCAAGTCGTTGCGCGCATCGAGTTCCCGCATCTCAGTCGTTTTCGCATCATCAAGTCGTCTTCGCAAATCCGAGCCAAGCCCATACAATCGCACACCGCGGCTCCTATAATTGTAGTCCCGTGACTCCCTCGAGCCATGCCCGGCGAACTATCGCACATCATCGCGGCTCCTATAATTGTAGAACTAGTTATCGTCTCTGTGACTCACTGAGCCCGGCACTGCAGTATTCCATGTGTAACATATCGCATCCTCGTGAAATACTTCCCGGCGCCTCCGCCATCATCCCCTGGCAGTGATTTACTCGACCTCGGAACTCGCTATATAAATTTATCTCACCTCAGCCCAACTTCCATCCCAGCTTCAACAAGACTTTTATTAATCCCATCCCTGTTCCCTGTCTTACCTCTGGGCACCGTCACTCGCACGTAACAGCAAACCTCCTCTGTCGCGCCTCTCGCGCCTCTCTTGCGCCTCTGTTGCGCCTCTGTTGCGCATCTTCGCGCCTCTGTCGGGCCTCTGTCTGCGCCTTTCTTGCGCCTCTGTTGCGCCTCTGTTCTCCTCTTCGGTAGCCTATTCACCACTTCGGGACCCCCAGCGTTATCATCATGGGGTCGATGTGCGCCTCTCCTGCGGGACTCCTGCTGCTCGCCCTTGCCCTCATCTGCGGTCAGTCCCCTTCTCTCTCATTGCTTGCAAGATCTTTCACTTCTAGTCAGCCCTTGCCTTTGTAGGCCCTCAGATGCGTGTCCTTTGATTTTTGAGGTGCCTAAAAAATCCGCGAGTCATGAGACGACTTTTGAGGTGCCTCAAAAATCACTTCTGGTCAGCCCTTGCCTTTGTAGGCTCCCAGACGCGTGTCCTTTTCTCTCTGCCCTCGTTCCTGCTCGCCTCCAATTTCCATCTCTTCTCTGCTTTCAGCTCTATCCTCTCTTCTCTTCTCTTCTCTTCTCTTCTCTTCTCTTCTCTCCTCTTCTCTTCTATTATCTTCTCTTCTATTTTCCACCTCGTCTATATTTTTCTGCTCTCTTATCTGCTCTCTCATATCTACTCTTTGTTTTCTTCTCTGCACACCCTCTCCCTTGTCCTCTGCAGCAGTTCAGATGATGCAGGCAGCGGATGGAGACGACAGGGTGGGAAGCATGACACATAGGAGAACGCAGAAATCGGTATATGGAGATCAGACAGAACCATTGACGACCACAGGTGAGGAACGTATGAAAGAGAACGTTCGTGATTTTTTATGGGTGTGATTCTGAAGGGCATGATTCTGAAGGGCCCGATTCTGAAGAGCCTAAACTGTGAAGGGCGAGTTTCTATTCTGGTTGTCGTCATGCTCGTGTGTGTGTGTGTGTGTGTGTGTGTGTGTGTGTGTGTGTGTGTGTGTGTGTGTGTGTGTGTCCTCTCTTTCTTTTCTTTTCTTTGTTGAAGCAATGCCTCCTACATCCTTTCACGCAGACCTCTCTCCTCTGTGTTGCAGATCCTGCCTGTGCGGCGTTGGGCTGTGAGCCGGATGGCACCTGTGAGGTGGATCAAAACGGAGAGCGCTACTGCAAGTGGGGTGAGTGAGCATTCCATTCCTGCCAATGCAATGTAGATGAAATGTATAAATCACGCCTCATTTATTTGTATAATACACAGCTTTCAACTGCCGCCTTTTTTTTTAACCTCATGTTCCCAGCCCTTGAGAGTGAGCGCTCATGAAATTCATGTGTAGTGAGGCGATTTTTTAGGCGCCTTAAAAGTCGTATTTAATGTCGTTGCCATGGTAGCTGTGAAAGTTCATGAAGTTTAGCTTTCGCCCCGCCTACCTCCGTTCCCTCACTTGTCTGGAGCTGCCCTCCTCTACAAGCTATCCCGCAGACATACCGCATGTAGTGAGTCGATTTTTGAGCCGACTCAAAAATAGATCTTTCCCTCACTTGTCTGGAGCTGCCCTCCTCTACAAGCTGTCCCGCAGACATACCGCATCCCCCCTGTCTCTCTGGCCTGTTTTGCGTCTTTCTTGTTCTCCCTCTGCCTCGCTTCTCCCCTCTGCCTTGCTTCTCCTCTCTTCCTTCCTTGCTTCTTTCTCTTCCTTGCTTTCCCCTGCTCCCGCGCTTCTCCCTTGCTTGCTCCGCTCTTCATTCTCACCCTGTGCGCTAGCCCCTCTGCATCCAGAGCTATCCTTCACTAGCAACTGCCACCCCCCAAACCTGATAATTCTACCGTTCCCCAACCCTTTGTACCCCTTGCTCGCTGCGTTCTTCAGCCTCACCCTGGGGTGCCTGCCCCTCTGGAGCCTCAGTCCCCCACTACCAATTGCACTCACATACCGCACTGCACCCATCCCCACCCCTCACAGCCTCACCCTGCGGCGCCTGCCCCTCTGGTGCCACCTGCAAGACCGTGCCTGCGACAAGAAACAGCTCGCTGCAGGTGCCTTACTGCGTGTGCCCTCAAGGCTTTGGGATGACCGCCAGCGAATGTGTTGAGGGTGAGATTCGTTGACTCGTGATGTTAGCTTTGCTCTTTCCACTCCCTCCTCTGATGATGTTTTAGTCGAAGCAAAACACGCCCTCACCGCTTTGGGATGATCGCCAGCGCTTTGAGATTCGTTGACTCATGCTCGCTTTGCTCTCTCCACTCTCTCCTCTCCCCACTCGCCCCGCACTCCACTCTTGCCACTCGTCCCACACTTCTCTCTCTCTCCCCCACTCACCCCACTCTGTGCTTCACCTTTCTCGCTTCAGCAAGTAGGCTGAATGGCCGATGCTTTGTGGGGATGGCAATGCATGTTTGATTCGAATGGAGAATCTTTGCAGGTGCCAAACACAGCGACAAGCTTTGCGACGAGCATCCACTCTTTCCTTTCGTGTGCCCCTCTTTCTCAGGTGGAGCGTCCACCGTCACCTCCTTAAGCTATACATTCATCGCAAACCCAACGGCCAAGGACGCAACTTCTAAGCCCTGTACCTTCCGCCTCAATGTGACTGGCTGCACTCCATTCCCGGAGGCAGTGGTTGGGAAGACCAGAGGAATCTACTTTGTTCGCAACATTGAAGATGCTCCAAGCTGCCTCAACACGAAAGTTTTCTATAAGAATAACTGTGAAGGTTCTTTTTTGAGGGGAAGCAATCGAACCATTCCTGGTTTTTTTGCAGGATATCAAATTCTCCCGTGAGTCATTCCCACTTGCACATCTGCACTGCTTTTCCGCCTCCCTTTCTGCACTGATGATCAGATATTACACTTTCTGAGCCATGCATTCCTTTTTGTCCTCCCTTGTTGCCATTAACCAGGGAAAACATGTTTTTCGGTCCGCAATCAATGGAGTGCAATGTAATCCAGTAGGATGGCATGGATGGCTGGATTGACCGTGGTGCCATGTGCACATGCTTCAACTTGGATGGATTCTAGACCCCATTGAATAATACCCCTTCTCTCCCCCATTGAATAAAACCCCTTCTCTCCCCCCGTTGAATAGAACCCCTTCTCTCCCCCGTCGAATAAAACCCTTTCTTCCCTCCACTCAATAAAGACCAGGAGCAGAATAGTTCTTTGTTGCCAATTATTGTAGCTGTCATAGAGATGTCTTTGTTAGAGAGAGGTTTGTAGAGCTGTACTGTTACATGTGTGCTTATATGTTTCAAAACCCAACAACTCTAGACGCTGGTTTTAATCATACACGTCAGTCAAGCTTTTTCGAGCAATATTTAGCGCGACAAATACAACCGCGAGATTTTACATACCCGACAGGAGCACCAAGGCCGCCAGCGTTTCGCTCCTACCCCTCAAGCCGTGCCGCCACGTGCTCGGTCATTTTGTTTAGAAACGCCATCCTCGGCGTTTTAACAAGTGTATCGCGTGCCGTAATCCATTCCGCCCCGAGGCGGCCCGAAGCTTTTCCGTAAACCGTCGCCTCGTTAGAAGCACACTTATGGCGGACGACGAGGATCGCGTCCCGCTTAAATCGCACGCGACCGGGGAGCTTCGTGGCCGTCGATTTCAGCCGTTCGATCGGCACGCTGACGTGGAACCGTCCGATGTCGCACCTGTGACGCGGCGACTGAACTGGCGATTCGTAGCCGTCATAGGGGCTCTGCTTCTTATCGTCGTCTGGTGGCTATCGTCTTATAGCGGGGACGGCTCCGCGTCCACGAATTCGATGACCCTCTCAGGTTCGAATCCCGCCGCACCCTTTTCCTCTGCTCAATACCCGCCGTCCGATTCTTTCCCCTCTTCCGCCGCCGCTCCCTCCCCCGATACAGTCACAGTTCGTTCAGACACTGTCCCAAGCCCTGCCGCCGATTCAGTCACACTTCCTGCGGATCCGAACTCAAGCTCGACAGCTGCCGCTACACCTGCCGCTACACCTGCCGCCGCGCCTGCTACAATTGCTGCTACATCCGCTGTTACGGCCATTGCTACAGCCAGTGCTGCATCTGCTCCGGAAGCATCAGCAGCATCAGCGGCAGCTGTAGCAGGTGCTCAACCACCGTCGCCGCCTGCTTTCGCCACGTCAGCAATTCCTGATTCGGCTGCTACGGCGCCAATCGCGGCAGCCACGCCAGCTCGTTCGTCCGCTCTTCGCGGGGATCCCGCCTCCGCGCCTGCCGCTTCTCCCCGAGGAGGTGTTTCGGAGAGTGCTACTAACGGTGGTGATTATGGCGAGTATGGAGCAGAGGGGATGTGGGGAATAGAGGCGGAAGATAAGAGCATGAAAGGTGGTGAAGATTTGAAAAAGGGTTTTGGAAAATCGGAGGATGTAGAGGTGGAGGCTACACTAGAGGAATTGGAGCAGTCTTTAGCGGATCTTGAGGATACTATTAACGAGGACAAGACGAAGAGCATAGGCCGCCTGGATGCAGCAGAAGCTGAGCTGGCGCAGCGCGAAAGTGACCTGTATTGGCGGCTGACTGAAACCGAAGCTCCCGCCGGACCTAACGGTCCAGGCTTGGCAGGAGGTTCGGGCGGAACAGGTGGCGTGTTTTCAAATTCGGGTTTTGCAGCTTCACCGGCTGCACCAACAGCAGCAGCAACAGCAGGAACAGCAGCAACACTAGCATCGCCGTCAGCAGCAGCACCAGCCGCTGCCGCCGCCACACCAGCAGCAGCAGAAGTAGCAGGAGCAGCAGCAGCAGTGGCTGATGCATCTGCGGCCGATACAGGGGAAGACCCGCTCCTGTTTCCCCTCTCAGCAGCAGCAGCAGCGCCATCAGCAGCACTCACTGCAGCAGCAGCGGCAATGGAAGCAGCAGTGGCAGCAGGGGCGCCGCTACCCCCTCCCACGCCCATCCCCTCTCTGCACTCCCTCTTGAAAGACGCGGATCTCAAGAGCCTCTCTGCTGCTGCGCCTGGGGAGGAGGCGGGGAAGGGAGGGGAGGGAGGGGGGGGATCAGGTGGGAATAGGAAGGGCGGCGGCGGTGGTGGCTTCTGGGGTTCGTGGTTTGGCCGCAGACGCCTGGCTGCTGTTGCTGCTGCTGAGGCTGTTGCCTCCTCCTAGCAGGTAGCGCCTTGTTTCACAAGACGGGGGTGATTTTTTAGTCGATCTGAAAGGAGTCAAGGGAGTGGGGAGAGCGAGTGGGATTGCGAAGGGCGGTGACGGTGGTGGGTTCTGGGGCTCGTGTTGGGGCCGCAGACGCCTGGCTGCTACTGCTGCCGCTGCCTCCCAGCGGGTAGCACCTTGTTTCACAGGACCTCCCACCTTCTTGTATACTTATTCTTTACAGCTCAGGCGGAGGCTCACCTGCAATTGTGTCTTTCTATTTATTTGATTTGATTGTTCGGGAGAGGGCTTCAAGTTGTTGCACAAGGCGCCCTGAAAGACGTCGGCCTCAAGAGACGATTTTTGAGGCGCTTCAAGTGGCTGTTGTTGCCGCTGCTGCTGCTGCTGTTGCTGCTTTTGGTGATGTGCTTTCACTCAAGGGCCAATGGAATTGAATGGGCAGATTCACGCCAGTTGCAGCAGAGGCAGAGGCGAGTAGAGGGCTGGACTTTGGATTGACGGGGAGTTGTCTGGCCGGAGCAGCAGATGCAGATTGATTCGGCAAACACAATCACAATCTCATACATAGCACAGCGAGACTGATTCAGTTCATGTTTCGATTCAGGATCCTGTTTTAGCTTAGGTAGGGGGGGACTTGGGGGACTTGGATTCACATCCAGAAGCAGGATTGGATCCTTCCAGATTCACCTTCCAGATGTAGGTTCCATCAATCTTGGGTTCAGGGCGTCACTCTTGAGAATTCTCAAAGGTGTATATTGCAGCTACGAAGTGTGCTAGCTCTTTGAGCCTCCATCAGCAGCAGCAAAGCATCGTTTAGGGGGCTTTAATCGTCGGAACGTGTCACGGCGGCTGCTTGAGACTCGCCGCGGCGTTCAGGAGGAGCGTGGCTTCGCAGGCAGGTGCTTCGTTGTAGCTTCGTGCGAGCGAGGGATGGGAGGGGAAGGCAGATTGGGTAAACTCAGGGAAAGCTGGAGGGGGGGGAGAGAGGGAGGGGGGAAGGGGAGGGATAGAAATGATACGGTGAAAGGTTCTGGTGAGGAGGAGAGGAGGGGGTAACAGGAGAGTAGATGGGTCCAACGAGTGTGATGCTAGCGAGGAGGAGGGACTTGGAAGGAGTTGATGGGGAGCAGGCTGGGAAGGGGGTGAGGAGACGCAAGACATGCGAATTTATCTCTCGCCAAGCAATCAGCAGTTACCGCCTTCCCAAGTTACCAGTTTCCCAGGTTACCACCTGCCCAGGTTACCACCTGCCCAGGTTACCACCTTCCCAGGTTACCGCCTCCCTTCTCGCCACCTCACCTCCCATTTCACCACCTTCCCGGGGAGCTGCATGCGTCTGAACTGAAGCAGATGGCAAGCGGGTCAGAGCACACAGTGAAGCTCAGAGAGAGATAGCCACCTGCCGCTACAATTCCTGGATACTTGGAAAACCGCTCGTCGGTCGAATCGTCTCGCCCAACGAGTCATTTCTCGCAACCAAACGTTCTAATCAACCAACAAGGCATCTCACGTGAATTGTTGCTTCTGGCGCTGCAAGTTCCGAACCTGACCGCCCCAAACCTGCTTTACCCTCCTTGCCCCCCTGCCGAACCTCCTGCCCGAACGTGCAGGGTTGGGGATAGGCTCGGACGGGCAGTACGAGTTTGGGGAGTCGAGCTCGTGGGGGGCAGCAGGGGGGACAGAGGCGAAAGCGGGGTTTAGAGGCACGGGAGTGACAAGTGTTGGAGCAGCAGGGGGAGGAGGAGGAGGGGAGGAGGGAGGGGTTGGAAAGGGAGAGAATGGAATGGGAGAGGGTGGGAGGCGTGGTGGTGGAGAGTGCAAGGTGTTTACCTTCTTTGACCCGAGTCAAGTTGCTGGGGATGTGGAGCAGGAGGCGAGGTGAGTGACTGTATGGTGTGAGTGACTGTATGGTGAGAGTGACTGTATGGTGAGAGTGACTGTATGGTGTGAGTGACTGTATGGTGAGAGTGACTGTATGGTGAGAGTGACTGTATGGTGTGAGTGACTGTGTGGCTTTTGAGGTGTCTGAATGGTGCGGAGTGGAAGTGCAAGGTGTTGACCTTTTTTTACCCGAGTCAAGTTGTGGGGGATGTGGAGCAGGAGGCGAGGTGAGTGATTGTATAGGGTGTGAATGTGTGACGTGAGTGACTAAATGAGTGGTTTCTGTATGGCTTTTGAGGCGCCACACATTCTTTCTGTCTCATCGCACTCTCCCCACCCAATCCCTTTGCGCCCCATGCTCTCTCGGCCCCTGTCTTCCAACCCCAGTCTGCTGCACTGCACGTGTGGCAGCTGAGTTGGCTCACGACGGGGTCGGGTTGGGCGCCTGCTCTGTCGGGGTGAGTGTGACAGTACATTCTCGTTCTCTTGCTGTCCCCACATAATTTATATGCGCCTGCTCTCTCGTTCCTCCCCATCCCCACCCCTATCTTCCCCACCCCCAGTTTGGTGCAAGTGTGGCAGCTGAGTTGGCTCAAGGCGGGGTGGGCGCCGGTGGTGCTGCGAGGAGAGGAGAGCGTGAAAGGGCATGCGGATTATCTTGAGATGCTGAGGCGAGCAGAGGAGGAGGCGGGGGGAAAGGCCATGAAGGTGAGGGGCGTGGGAGAGGGGGGGAGGGGGATGGTGGAGGGGGGAATATGAAGCTCAAAGTGGGGTGCGTGCCTGCCAGTGCTGCTGCGAGGGGAGGAGAGCGTGAAATTGCATGGTGAATATGACGAGATGCTGAGACGCGCAGTGGAGGGGGCAAGGGGAAGTTCAATGAAGGTGAGGAGGAAGGGAGAGACGAGAAGGAGGGGGTGGGATAGGAAGCTCAACGCTGGTTGGGTGCCAAGGGTTCTGTGAGGGGAGGAGAACATTAGAGGTTAAGTGGAATGCCACAAGATGCTGAGACAGGCCGTGGAAGGAGGGGGGAGGAGATATGATGAAGGTGAGGAGCACAAGGTGAAGGGATTGCCACAAGATGCTGAGAGTGCACTGGTCGGGGTGAAGGGATTGCCGGCCTGTTCTAATCACTTCAAAACGTCCCTCCCTCTTGCCCCCTGCATCCTTCTGTTTCAGTCGCTGTGGCCCTGCACTGCGCTCAGCAGCCTCAACTCAGCTCGTCGTCACTCGGTGCCTTGATTTGATTTGACTCATTGATTGAACCCCCTTTCCACCGCCCTCGACCTCTTTCTCCCCCTTCACACCCCTCCCCCCTTCCCTTTCCCCCGCCATTCCAGCCCATTGTGACTCGCTGGTTGGCCGTGGCAGCAGCAGGCGGGGGCCTGTTTGCTCACTACGATATCATCAATTTCGGGGTCCGCCCGCCTGCCAACTGCCTCGTTGGACCGCTGTCCACGTACGGGGTGAGTGGGGGCAAGACGTGGGAGGGCAGCAGCAGGCGGGGGCCTGTTTGCTCACTACGATGTGATCAACTTTGGAGTCCGTCCTCCTGCCAACTGGCTCATCGGACCGCTGTCCACGTATGGGGTGAGTTGGGAGGCGGAGCTGGGCCGGAAGGGTAAACGGAGGGGGCATAAGGGCGGCGGAGAGGCACAAGGGCAGCAGCTCGGGTGGTCCTCTTTGCTCACTACGAGTCATCAACTTTGGGGTTTCCCCCCCCCCTTGCAAATTGCCTCGTTGGCCCGCTGTCTATGTACGGGGTGAGTGGGGCCGGAGAGGTGCAAGGGTGAACGAGAGGGGGGAGTGTAAGGGCAACAGGGAGGCACAAGAGTAGTAGCAAGTGTGATTACTATTTGTTCACTAGGTAGGATATCGTCAGCCTTGGTGTCTCTCCCTGTGCCAACTGCCTCATTAGACCGTTCTCTACCTACGAGGTGAGTGGGAAATGAAACAAAAGCTGCTTTCATGCTTTCATCATCTTTGGTGTCTCTCTCTGTCCCACCCGCCCCTACCCTCCCCATTCCGCCCGCCCTCCCCATCCCCCCTTCTCGAATCAAAATCTCTTCCTCTTCCTGCTCCTCGGCCACCACACGACTTTGCTTGACTTGCCCAGGTTGCTTCCCGCTGCCTTTCCAGACAAAGCACCTACTTACTTCTGCCTCCATCTCCTCCTCCCTCCCCCCCGTCCCCCCTTCTAAAACCAGTATCTCCTCCCCTTCATGCTTTCTGGCCAACCGGACGACTTTGCCTGACTAACCCAAGCGCGCCTGCCTGTGCCACTGCAGCCAGCCCACTCCAGACAGAGGCCCCCCTTCCCCCTTCCCTTTCCCCCCTCTCCCTTCCCCCCCAAGCAGGATATCTTCCCCTTCTTGCTCTCCGGCCAGCCGGACGACTTTGCCCGTCTAGCCCAAGCGCGCCTGCCTGTGCCCCTGCAGCCCACCCACCCCGCCCCCAGCATCACCGGGGTGGTGTCGCCCCGCTTCCGCTTCCCCCCTGTCAGGGGCATCGTGCGCTGCTCCCAAGCCACTCTGCCGCTCTTCCTGCAGCCTCCCATCCTTCAGGTGAGGGAGCAATTTGGGTGGAATTTAGGTTTAATTGAGGTTTGGGTGGAGTTTAGGTAAATTCTGGCTGCAACTGAAAATTGGATGTAGTTTTTGTGGAACTTGGAACTTGGGTGGAGCTTGGGTGGACTTTGGATGGAAAAAAATCCCTCACTCTCCCTCCCATTCCCCCTCACCCCTCCCTCCCATTTCCCCCTTCATCTTGCTTGGCATGCACTTTCCTGGCAGCTTCCCAAGTGGCGCCAGGTCTCTGCTCTCCTCTGCTCCCACTTCTCCCGAACCACAAGTTTCCGAGCCTTCGCCATACCTCCCCTCGCCACCGTACCTGCCGCCCTAGCCTCCCTCCGCTCCTCCCTCTCCTCCTGCCCCAACTACACCCTCCCCTCCTTCCCCCTCCTCCTCCCCCCCGCCCCTTCCAACCTCACCTTCCTCCTCCTCCCCCACCACATCTCCCTCGCTCTCGCAACCGACTACCTCTCTTACTCCGCCAACCCCCAAAACGCCCCTGCCTGGTTTAAGAACCTCTATCCCGGCATGACCGTGCCAGCAGGCGTTTCTAACTTAGAGTTTCTGCACGCTCTCACACACCACCTACAGTCTCTTCCTGTGAATCAAGAGGATATTACCACTGATAACCGGCTTTCCCGGGCTGTATCCAGGTTCTTAAACATCCCCCTTACAGCAGCTCCGTTAGCAGTAGCAACACAGAAACAGGTCATCGCCGTCGCGCGATACGACATGGCGGGGGATGTGGTAACCGTGTTACAAGCGGCGCTGGGTTTCAGGATAGGCGTGGGGGAAGGAGAGGCGCTGGGGAATGCGGTGAGGGCGGGGTGGGAGGCTACGAGGCCGTTTGCCTCGCATGTGCATGGGGAGGTGTTGGATACGATTCTGGGTCGCAACCTGATGGATGTGCAGCTGCTGACGGCTGCTTGGGAGAGGGCTGAAGAAGCATTGGCTCGTGCCAAGGTGCTTGATGGATAGCTGTTCTGCTTAGGTGCATGGGCAGGTTGAAGACGCGACACGGACTTTGCCACCCAGGTGCATGGGGAGGTGTTGGATACGATTGTGGGTCGCAACCAGGTGGATGTGCGGCTGCTGCAGGCTGCTGCGGTGAGGGCGGATGAAGCATTGGCTCGGGCCAAGGTGCTTGACGGATAGCTGCCGCTCTGCTTTGGAGGAAGCACTCGGAGGAGGGATCGGCCTGCGGCGGATAGGAGCATGGGTGGGGTGTGGTGTGTGTGGAGGCAGACAACACCGTTGATCGATGTTAGCTACGTGAAAAAAACTGGTGCAGGCTGCTGGGGAGATTGTGACAAGAAAGCGGATAGCTTGCCTTGTGCATATATGCTAGAGAGTTGTAGCAGCGCAGTGCAGAGGTTTGGAGGGAGGGTGTTTATTGTGAGGCAAGTATTGTAGATGGCTGTTATCGATACAGTACAGTGAATGTGTGTTTTTTTCCAGTTGCTTATGCTGCTAGCTAGGTGTATTTAATTTGCCCTACCCTAAACTGTACTCAATGTGTATTTAAAGCCCGCAGTTAAAATAGTGACCCCCCCCTTCTAGTTGGGTCCACTTGAAGTCTCAAACTCACTTTGGACTGTTGAAGTGTTTTTCCGTATTTTTTTTCAGTGCGGGAGAAACACTGGTCGAGTCCTTCACAAAATTGAATCAAACAACAATCTGTCGCAAGCATAGGCAAATATGTCGCAAATTTGCGGCGTGCAAATCCCATGCACATGCCATGCCAATTTCGACTAGTGCAGCATGTGCAATTCACGCACACCAAATGCCTTTGACATGGGCCTGCTAGCACTGCAATCACAACATAAGAAAAACACTCGGATGAAAACAGCAGAGAATTTCAAAGTGACGAGATAAGAGAGAGATAATGCGACGGAAACGCAACAATCCTCTCACCAACTTCTGATCCGCAGATTGGAATGTCATGATTACACACACCCAATGGTGGCAATGTGGTAGCTTCACCCGCTGTGCTGCACTTGCTGCTTCTACCACTGAGGAACTTTTGCCTCTCATTTCAGCAAACTGAGACTCTTGTACATAGAAGCAGCAAGTTTTACAATGCATATGCCAGTTGAACGTTTATCGCGCTATTATCATACGGTATTGGCGAACGAACTACCTACCGTATTGTACTCATAATTTACACAGTAGGTGTAGCGGCAGTGTTAGGCACAGCAGGTCTGCTGCCACCCCTCTCTTCACCAGATGCCGATGCTTGTAACGCGTTTGGCTTGCCCTCCACAACCATTTGTCTTGCCGGTGATGCCGCCGATTGTACCGTACTTGACGAGGATGCCACTGATGATAGCGAGGAGGATGCTACTAACGAGGATGGGGAAGGTAGAGCCGAGTGGGTGAGTGCGTCCAGGTCAGCACTGGAGGGCAGGTAGCTGGTCTCCAGTCCCACTGCTGACCCAAACGTCGTGTAGCCCTTCTCTGCCCCTGAGATCTCCAGGAATGCACGCGCCATGCTGGAAGGAGGGAAGGAGCGTGGAGAGTGGGAAAGAGAAAACGGGGAGATTAAAACTTATGGAGTGAGCATAAGAAGGCGGAACCAACACACGGGGAGGGAGGGCTGGCGGATCCTGGTGTGTGTTGGGTCGACTCAGAACATTGGGGGGGTGGGAGAGAGTGCGTCCAGGTCAGCAGTGGAGGGCAGGTAGCTGGTCTCGAGTCCCACTGCCGAGCCAAAGGTTGTGTAGCCCTTCTCTGCTCCTGATATCTCCAGAAAGGCACGCGCCATGCTGGGGAAAGGAAGGAGAGGAGACAATGGAAAAGAGAATAAGAAAAAAAAAAAGATGACATAATGAACATCAAATAGGCATGAAGGAGAGTGAGGGCTCCTGGAGTGCTTCAAGGTGAGTGGGAGAGTGCGCGAAGGTCAGCAGTGGGGAAGTCTCACCCCTCGGCCATGACAGCTCGCTTCTCCATCGCCACCATATCACAGGCCCTACCACGCACCTTAGCACCGCACCAGAAACCTTACCACCGCACTAAAAAACGTTCTCACCGTTATAAGCTCTCTCCGTCATCTCACCCCTCGGCTGTGAGTGCTCGCTTCTCCATCGCCACCATCTCCTGCTGCAAGGCCTTTGGCTCTCCAGCCTTATCACATCTTGGTGACACACCGAAAACCTGACTACCGCACCAAAAACCATCTCGTTGCGCTCTCCCTCATGACTCATCTCACCCCTCTGCTGTGAGTGCCCGCTTCTCCATCGCCACCATCTGCTGCTGCATCCCTTGGTTCTTCTCCTGCGAGCAGGCGAGTGGGGGTTGGGTTGGCGGTGGGAGAAGGTGGGGGGGGAGGTGGAGTGGGAGGGGAGGTAAGGCCGATGAGGTTGCAAAGCCCTGCACGTTGCCACCATCTGTTGCTGCAAGGCCTGACACTCCTGCACAGAGCGAAGTGGGGGGAGAAGAGGGGGTGGATGGTAAGCGCAAGCATGGCGCATGTCACATGGCACGTGATGCATGGCATGGGTTGTAAGTATACTCACTCTTCGCACACAGAGCATCACACTCACCACCAGCATTTCAATGACGCGCTTGTGTGTGTCCACCTGCTGCCTTCTTGTGATGTAGTGTAGAGTATTGTAAGGCATATGGTAACACATACATAGTGCATGCATGCATGATACTCACATGCTGCACCCTACTCACCACGAGCATCTCAATGACGCGCTTGTGTGTGTCCACCTGCTGCTTGCCCACTGCTATCATCTCCTCTTGCTCCCTCTTGTCCCCCTCCAGACGACCAATCACCTGCATGCAGCAAGGAGCGTGCATTAAGCAAGCTGAGTCGACTACGAACGAATAAGGAGGCAAGGCAGTGGCACACAGAAAACTCGGATCGGGAATTAGCTCCAGGATTTTAATTGCCTAAGAACGGCCAAGGGGCATGCAATAGACAAGCTGAATTGTAGGCCGATCTAGAATGACAAAAGAGCACGCGATGGACAAGCCGGGTCAGAGATAGTTGAAAGCAATTGCAACTCCATGCAAAGTCAAGTTCTGAGATGTCTCAAGAAGACACAGACACCTGGTTTTACGCCCTTTTCTCTCTCCACAAGTCAGTACGCAGTCACACACAGCAACACCCACTCACCCTCCACCTCTCGCCTCATCTTCTCCTCCTTTGAATTGAAGCCAATGCCCTCAGCAGAGCATTCAGCTCCCTCTGTATCTCAATCTGACAAGGGGGGGGGAGGGGTGAGAAGGGTGGTGGAAGTCAATCAGAGTCAACCAAAGTCAATCAACCAGAGCCCCTCCACCTCTTGCCACAACTTCTCCTCCTTTCACGCCATTGCCCTCAACAGTTCGTTCCGTCCCCCCCCCCCCATACCTCAACCTCATCGAATGAGGTTGTGAAAGTCATCAAAAGGCAGTCAACATAAGTCAACATAAGTCAAGCGAGTCAATCCAGAGCCAAGCAGCGTCCTCAGCAGTGCATTCAGCTCCCGCTGCTTCTCGATCTGATGAAATGAGGCGGTGAAAGTCCACAGAGGTCAAACAAAAGTCAACACAGAAAGAACCAGAATTCAGTCAAGCAAAGGAGAGTCAAATTAGAGCCAACCAATGCCCTCAGCAGCAGTGCTTTTGAGTCGACTCAGCAGCAGTGCTTTTGAGTCGACTCAGCAGCAGTGCTTTTGAGTCGACTCAACAGCAGTGCTTTTGAGTCGACTCAACAGCAGTGCTTTTGAGTCGACTCAGCAGCAGTGCTTTTGAGTCGACTCAGCAGCAGTGCTTTTGAGTCGACTCAACAGCAGTGCTTTTGAGTCGACTCAGCAGCAGTGCTTTTGAGTCGACTCAACAGCAGTGCTTTTGAGTCGACTCAACAGCAGTGCTTTTGAGTCGACTCAACAGCAGTGCTTTTGAGTCGACTCAACAGCAGTGCTTTTGAGTCGACTCAACAGCAGTGCTTTTGAGTCGACTCAGCAGCAGTGCTTTTGAGTCGACTCAACAGCAGTGCTTTTGAGTCGACTCAACAGCAGTGCTTTTGAGTCGACTCAGCAGCAGTGCTTTTGAGTCGACTCAACAGCAGTGCTTTTGAGTCGACTCAACAGCAGTGCTTTTGAGTCGACTCAACAGCAGTGCTTTTGAGTCGACTCAACAGCAGTGCTTTTGAGTCGACTCAACAGCAGTGCTTTTGAGTCGACTCAACAGCAGTGCTTTTGAGTCGACTCAACAGCAGTGCTTTTGAGTCGACTCAACAGCAGTGCTTTTGAGTCGACTCAACAGCAGTGCTTTTGAGTCGACTCAGCAGCAGTGCTTTTGAGTCGACTCAACAGCAGTGCTTTTGAGTCGACTCAGCAGCAGTGCTTTTGAGTCGACTCAGCAGCAGTGCTTTTGAGTCGACTCAACAGCAGTGCTTTTGAGTCGACTCAACAGCAGTGCTTTTGAGTCGACTCAACAGCAGTGCTTTTGAGTCGACTCAACAGCAGTGCTTTTGAGTCGACTCAACAGCAGTGCTTTTGAGTCGACTCAGCAGCAGTGCTTTTGAGTCGACTCAACAGCAGTGCTTTTGAGTCGACTCAACAGCAGTGCTTTTGAGTCGACTCAGCAGCAGTGCTTTTGAGTCGACTCAACAGCAGTGCTTTTGAGTCGACTCAACAGCAGTGCTTTTGAGTCGACTCAACAGCAGTGCTTTTGAGTCGACTCAACAGCAGTGCTTTTGAGTCGACTCAACAGCAGTGCTTTTGAGTCGACTCAACAGCAGTGCTTTTGAGTCGACTCAACAGCAGTGCTTTTGAGTCGACTCAGCAGCAGTGCTTTTGAGTCGACTCAACAGCAGTGCTTTTGAGTCGACTCAACAGCAGTGCTTTTGAGTCGACTCAGCAGCAGTGCTTTTGAGTCGACTCAACAGCAGTGCTTTTGAGTCGACTCAACAGCAGTGCTTTTGAGTCGACTCAGCAGCAGTGCTTTTGAGTCGACTCAACAGCAGTGCTTTTGAGTCGACTCAACAGCAGTGCTTTTGAGTCGACTCAACAGCAGTCCTCCTCCTCCTCCTCCTCCTCCTCCTCCTCCTCCTCCTCCTCCTCCTCCTCCTCCTCCTCCTCCTCCTCCTCCTCCTCCTCCTCCTCCTCCTCCTCCTCCTCCTCCTCCTCCTCCTCCTCCTCCTCCTCCTCCTCCTCCTCCTCCTCCTCCTCCTCCTCCTCCTCCTCCTCCTCCTCCTCCTCCTCCTCCTCCTCCTCCTCCTCCTCCTCCTCCTCCTCCTCCTCCTCCTCCTCCTCCTCCTCCTCCTCCTCCTCCTACTCCTACTCCTCCTCCTCCTCCTCCTCCTCCTCCTCCTCCTCCTCCTCCTCCTCCTCCTCCTCCTCCTCCTCCTCCTCCTCCTCCCCCACCGAACAGAGACCCTGCCTGACCCCATCCGGACCAGCGCCATGCAGCAGCGGCTGATGGTACAGCTGCTGCTGCTCCCCCTGCTCCCCCTGCTCCCCCTGCTCCCGCTTCCCCCCCTGCCACTCCTGGTTCCACCGCCGCTACTGCACCTGCTCCCTCTCTGGAGCAATCCTCGTCACCAGCACCACCATCACCGCCAGTAGCACCACCACCAGCATCAGCAGAGGCATTGGTGGTAGCACCGTTAGCAAGGAGAGGGATGGAAGGAGAGGCGGGGCTGCGGTTGAGAGCAGCGAGGTCGTGAGAGGAAGACGAGCGGCGGTGGTCAGGCCACGGGGGGAGAGAGGCGGAGGAGACTGAGGAGAAAGAGACGGAACCAGCTGCTCCTGCTAGCATGCCTGCTGATCCACCACCGGCTGCTAGAATGCTAGCTGAAGAGACTGAGGAGACGCTGGTGGTTACCGGCCATCTCACATCAGGCCAGGAGGATCCTTCTAAAGGCATATCCAGGCCACCATTCATATTCACCCTCCCATCCCGCACCTCTCTGCCACCATCCTCCCCTGCTGCTTCCAACAACACAGCCACGGCCCGAGCCACTCGGTTCGGCAGCGACAGCTTCGGCACGCCCCGGGGCTGCGTCCGTTCCTCCTCCATTTGCTTAGCTAAAAGTGCCACCATGTTCCTGGCGGCAGGGCTGCACCCTAAGTGCATGCCAAAGCGGTGCCAAACGGGCCTATGGAGAGCTGACACGTGGAGCCTTGACAGGGAGGAGGACCGGGCGAGCGGAGGGCTGGGGGGGAGCGGAAACAGCCTCGCTCCAGGCTTGAACTGGACAGGTGGCGGGTGCTGATTGGCCGCTGGGCCTACCTGGGAGCCTTCCTGAACAGCCCCCTTTTGACGCCCCTGGGTGGGCAGAGGGGGTAGTTGACTATTCCTACTGTTACCGCTCTTGCTATTACTAAGAAGACTGTTAGTAACGAGGCTGTCAGTAGAGGGCGGCAGGAGCAGAGACGGCGGATCAAGCAGCAGACCCGAACCAGCAGAGGCGGCACCAGCAGAAGGGGAGGGGAGAATGGAGTCATCAAGGGAGTTGGTGGTGACGGGGCGGCCGTCAGCAGTGGGGTGGAGGGACATGCGTTGGAAGATGGCAGCAGCCTCCGCCTTGAGGCGCTCTGACTTGCCGCTCTGGTAGCGCTGCAGGGCGACTTGCCTCTCTTCTAGCCGCCGCATGATGGCCGGCCGATGCTTCTGCCTTAGTGCCTGGGGAGGGGAGGGGGGACACGAGGGGAGAAGGGGGGCGGGGGAAGAAGACAGGGGAGGGGGGGTCGGAACCTAATGCAGCAGCAGCAGTGGCAGCAGCAGCAGTGGCAGCAGCAGCAGTGGCGGCCGTCAGCAGTGGGGTGGAGGGACATGCGCTCAAAGATAGCAGCAGCTTCCGCCTTGAGGCGCTCTGACTTGCCGCTCTGGTAGCGCTGTAAGGCGACTTGCCTCTCCTCCAGTCGCCGCATTATGGCCGGCCGGTGCTTCTGTCTTAGTGTCTGGAGAAGGGGGACACGAGTGGCAGAAGGGAGTGGGGGGGACAAGGGAGGGAACGGGAGACTGGAGTCATGAATCGAGTTGGTGGCAGTAACCCCAGCAGCAGTGGGGTGGAGGGACATGCGCTCAAAGATAGCAGCAGCCTCCGCCTTGAGGCGCTCTGACTTGCCGCTCTGGTAGCGCTGTAAGGCGACTTGCCTCTCCTCTAGTCGCCGCATTATGGCTGGCCGGTGCTTCTGCCTCAGGGCCTGGGGAGATGACAAGGGGGAAGTGGGGGGGAGGGGGGGTTGGCAGGGGACGGGGAAAGGGAAGTTCTTGTTGTTTTGACTTGGCTCCTCCAGCCGCCTCGTGATGGCCGGCCGGTGCTTCTGCCTCAGGGCCTGGAGAGGGGAGGACGAAGACAAGGGCAGGGAAGCGTGAAGAAGATCAAAGGTGGATGCTGCTAGGGTCCTTCATCCACGTTCACCCACCCACCCATCCACCCATGCACCATACCATGCTCATCCCGTTTAACAGAGCCCTCACCCCCAACAATGCCTCATCCACGGCCATGTATCCCACGCACGCGTTCAGAGCTGTTTGAAAAAAAACCGTTTCCAACAACTCCTCACCTCCAGCAGTGCATCGTTCACAGCCATGTACCCCACACAGGCATTCAGCACCAGCTGACTGGCATCGAATGCCGATGCTGCTAGGGTCGTTCGCCCAACCACCAACCCATCCATGCAGCATACTATGCTCATCCCGTTTAACAGAGGCCTCTCACCTCCAATAATGAATCGTCCACAGCCATGTACCCCACACACGCGTTCAGCACCAGCTGACTGGCATCGAAGGCCGACGCTGCCGTGTTTAGAAGGGTCGACATGAGCTCGCCCGTCTCAGTGATTTCCATCAGCAGGAAGGCTGTGCGGGGAGGGGAGGAGGGGGGGAATGGGAAGGGATGCGAAGGGATGTGACGGGATTTCGACGGGGTTTCGACGGGAGGGTATGAGGGTCAACACGAGCTCGCCCGTCTCGATTTGCTCCATCAGCAGTAAGGCTGCAGCAGATAAGGAAGGGGGGCGATGAAAGGACGGAGATGGGGAATTCAGAAGGGAGGGCACATGGATCAGCGAGAGCTCGCAGTCTTGCTTAGCTCGGACCTCGTTTGGTCTCTTGTATGCATGCGATGCGAGAGATTTCTCTGAAATTGCCTGTCTATTGCAATGCAAGCAAGGGATAAGGCGGTTGAGGGCCATGGTTGAGCAAGATAACAAAAGAAGAGCATAAACTTGAAGAAGTGTGCCTTGATGCACCAACGAAAAATGAGATCCAACCATGCTGCTTGAAACGAAAATGAGATCCAAGGACAACAACCGAGGGGGAAGAGAGGCGAATGGAAGGGAAGAATGACTGAACTGATCACTCACAGTGCTGCTCGAGAAGCGCGAGGCACGCCCGGAAGAGCATGCAGCGACTGCCTTCAAACAGCATCACGTCCCACACGCGCAGCACTGCGAGGGTGAGGAGGGGAGAAGAGTGGTGGTGTGTGTGTCTGTTGCTGTGCTGGGTGCATGCATAGTGTTTGCCTTCAAACAGCATCACGTGTGTGCAGCACTGAGAGGGGGAAGGGGGTGTGAGGGTGAAGAGTGGTGGTGTGTGTGTATGTTGCTGCTGTGTGCATGCATAGTGTTTGCCTTCAAACAGCATCACGTCTGCGCAGCACTGAGGAGCGGAGGGATGGGGTGGGAGAAGAGTGGTGTATGTGTTGTGTATGGCTCTTTCCTTCCCTTCAAACAACATCACATTCCACACCGGGGAGAAGTGGGGAGAAAGGTGGATAAGGAGAACATGTTCGAGTTCGCCCTTGCACGAACATGGCCGTTCGGCGAACCGAACACTGTTGGGTTCGCCGAACGGCTTTCCCAAAAAGGGTGTTCGGTGTTCGCCTGTGAAGGCGTGTTCGGGCGAACCTCGAACACGTTTGTCACGAACACTTTAAGCTAAAAATAAAGGGACTAACGACTACCACGACTTGAGATAAACTCACCGCTTTCCCAGGGAAACACGTTGATGAAGAGGGAGAGGAACCAGGAGCCAGTGATCCATGACAGCTGCACTGCCACGTTCTCAAAGTGCGTTGCTGACGATTAGAGGAAAGGAGAGTGATGCGGCACGAAAGAGAACAGGAGAGGGCGGGAGAAGATGAGGAACCAGAGGATGCTTATCCACGACCGCTGCACTCCCGCTGTCTCCAAGTGCGTTGCAGTAGTGATGTGGCAAAAGAGAGGGAAGGAGAGAGAGGGAGCGTGATGCGGCAAAGGGGAGAGTAACAGGGAAAGAGAAGATGAGGAACCAGAGGATGTTTATCCACAACAGCTGCTCACCCGTTGTCTCAAACTGGGTGGCTGATGAGAAGAGGAGAGTGACGTGGCACACGGGAGGAACGGAGGGAGGGAAGAAAGGGAGAGTGACGTGGCAACAAGGAGGGTGAGAGAGGATGGAGAGGGTGGGGAACCAGGGGCCAGTATTCCATGGCATGACAGCTGCTCTCACAGTGGGACGCTGGAGATGGGAGGAGAGAGAGCGATGCAGGGCACAGGAGGATAGGAGGGAGGGAAGAAATGGAGATTGGTGTAGCAAGCAGGAGGATAGGAGAGGGAGAGGGAAGGAACAAACGGCCAGTGATCCATGACAGCTGCTCTCACAGTGGGTCGTTGGAAATAACATGTTCGCGAAGCGAGAGGAGAGCATGGTTTGGGATTAGGATTGAATGCACTACCATCGCATGGACTTCCAGGAGGTGACTGCTTCCATTCATTACTGCCCAACAACATGTCTCCCTCTCTTGCTCAAATCGTATATTTCCTGCACATGTCCATCCCTCTCCTAATTAACGCACAAGACCAAGCCAGGCGTGGAGAAAGAAACGTGCAGTGCCAATCTTACCAAGTCGTGGGAAGTTCTGTCTCACGAGGTCTTCAAACACCAGCTGGTCCACCTGTTGGGCAAGGAAGAGCGATTGGGAGAAACAAGAGTTTCAAACAAAACACACACACAGACACACAAACACACACACGCACACACGCACGCACGCACGCGCGCACGCACACACATTTAAGGAAAAAAGGAACAGGAAAGACCACCCCTTTTTCTTGCCACGCCCGCTGGAACAAATCGGTTCGATAGAGGAGCATCGTCGCTTTCACATTGGCCCACAGACTTCTTATATGAGGTGGAGGATGGTTCACTCACAGCTCAGCTCACCTTGAGCCTTAGTCTGGCACCTCAACGTCTCACACCCGGTTGCATTGGAATGAATAACACAGTACCGTGAGAGCCTTAGGGTATGCTCTTGGCTGATGTCAAGCTTCGGGCCCGGCTGCTTGATTGATACGGAGTAGAATAGACAGGCATGGGCCAATCGATTGTTCGTGTCAAGCAACCTGGCCCCAAGCTTGACACCGCCCAAGAACGTGCCCTTACCTGAGCTGAGAGGGTTGCCTGAATCTCGCCTGAATCTCACCTGAGCCTCACCTGAGCTTCGATCATGTTGTGGGAGTAGTATCCCTTGAGGTAGTCATCCACGATTCCTGTCAGCGTCCTGATGAATCACGATGCATGGGAGGCAGCAGAGCCATGCACGATGCGGTACGATATATATGATGGGATACGATACAATAGGATACGATACGATAGGATACGATAGGATAGGATACGATAGGATAGGATAGGATAGGATAGGATAGGATAGGATAGGATAGGATAGGATAGGATAGGATAGGATAGGATAGGATAGGAGAGGAGAGGAGAGGAGAGGATAGGATAGGATAGGATAGGATAGGATAGGATAGGATAGGATAGGATAGGATAGGATAGGATAGGATAGGATAGGATAGGATAGGATAGGATAGGATAGGATACGATACGATACGATACGATACAATACGATAGGATAGCATAGCAACTTAGCAAATTCCTGTCGCCCCAAGCTATGGGGCATCACAAACAGGCGCATTTAGTCGCCATCGAATCCGAAGCCTGTTTTATATTTCCCCAAAGACAAGTAATGGGATGGCAGGCAGTTATTGGGGAACTGCTCATGTAACTCCCGCCATCTCCAACTCCCTCCCCTCCCTTCCTTGCTCACCAGAAGGCGTTTTCCTCTGGCATGAGTAGCAGCAGCAGCCCACCGAGGAAGTTCATGCCCTGTGGTGTGAGTAGTTTCGATGTGGGAGAAAGGGAGGAAAAAAATGTCATCAGGCTATTATATTACCTGATGTAGTAGTACCGGGTTTACTAGATGTATAGGCCACTAAAGTACCAAGTTAGTGGAATATCGGGCTGGCATGTCTTTCCCATGCACGCGCAGGAGCACACAGGAGGGCACAGGAGTACACAGGAGCAGAGAAGAGCAGACAGGAGTAGATAGTCAACAGGCAGGCACACACGCACAAGCAGTGCAACCCACCTGGCCGTACCCCTTCTGAGAACCCACACGCACATATCTGCACATACACACACCCACCTGGCAGTACCCCACGTCCTTGTTCTTCCGTGCATACGGTTTCAGCAGGCAACAACAAACCCACACCACCCCACCCTCCCCCCAAGCTCCCACACAAACCCACACCTATACCCACCTTTCAGTACCGCTTCTGAAACCTCTAAAGAGCCGCCCACCTGGCAGTACCCCACGTCCTTGTTCTTCCGTGCATACGCCGTCAGCAGGCAACAACACACCCCACCCACTTACAGCAGCCCACCCACACACACACGCACCCACACCCACCTGGCAGTACCCACCTGGCAGTACCCACCTGGCAGTACCCACCTGGCAGTACCCACCTGGCAGTACCCACCTGGCAGTACCCACCTGGCAGTACCCACCTGGCAGTACCCACCTGGCAGTACCCACCTGGCAGTACCCACCTGGCAGTACCCACCTGGCAGTACCCACCTGGCAGTACCCACCTGGCAGTACCCACCTGGCAGTACCCCACGTCCTTGTTTTTCCGTGCATACGCCGTCAGCAGGCGACGCAGCGAATCTCGCCCAATTGAGTCCAGCGCTGGGTGCCCGGGGAAGGTGCGAGGAAGGTCCTGAAAGGGGGGATGAGGAGGATGGGAGGTCAGGACGTGAAGGAAGGGACGTGGTGGAATCATTTCCTTTTCTAAATGACAATTTCTATTGTTACTTTTGGTTGGGCATGCGACAAGTTGTGCAACAGAAACTACATATCCTTTCCTTGGGGCTAGCAGCCGTCACAACAAGGTTTCGCTCGAGCGTGCAATGATGTGCGATGCACAACCTTCGCTTGGCAATTCACAGGCATATTAACCTCCCCCCCTTCCCCTCTCACCAACCCTCCCTCACCTTTTCGATCTGCACGGCCCACGAGTTGTGCACGTCTTTGGCGCGGATGCGAGCGTAGATGTCAGCAAGGGTGCTGTTGGGGCACAGGTCGTCCTCCCCTCCCGGTGTGCCTCCTCCTTACCCACGTGCTCCGTACCTTCTCAATTTGAACAGCCCATGAGTTGTGCACGTCCTTGGCGCGGATGCGAGCGTAGATGTCAGCGACGGTGCTGTTGGGGCACAGGTCGTCCTCCCGGTGGGCCTCCTCCAGCAGAGCATCATACAGCCCTGCTCGCCTCCTCGCCTTCGTGCCCACGAATATCTGCCACACCTGCTGGCCAGATTCCCAGAGATTCACAGGAGTTTAAAGGGGTTGATGGGGATTCACGGGGTTTCACACGGATTCATGGGGAGTCATGGGCATCGCAACACACATCCAGACCCTCCCACCACCTCGCCTTGGTGTTCATGAATATCTGCCCCACACACGCTCTCCACATTCACTTCACAAGCTTTCAAACACATTACGCGTACGTACATGCAATCAATACACACGCACTTACATGCCCTTCTGAAAACATCTACAGGTATTTACCGCGAGCGAGTGAGCGCCGCCCAATGCCCATCACCAGCGAGCGAGTGCAGCTCTCGCCCCCACAGCTGCCTTGATCATGCCTCCATGACTGCAGGCACAACCGCCTCGCACCCTCGCCCACCCACCCACCCACCTCGGCCTTCAAGGCTCAAGCCCACTTTCACCCTCACTTCTCTCCCATCTATCCTCTCCCACCTCTCACCTCGCAGGTTCATGGGCACGCCGCCCATCACCAGCGAGTGCAGCTGCTTTGATGGCTGAAGGTGCACGCACCTCACCCCTCCTGTGTATCAACTCTCCCACTCTACTGTCCCGTCCACCCACTCACCTCGCCTCTCAGGTTCATGGGCACGCCGCCCATCACCAGCGAGTGCAGCTGCTTTGATGGCTGAAGGTGCACGCACCTCACCCCTCCTGTGTATCAACTCTCCCACTCTACTGTCCCGTCCACACACTCACCTCGCCTCTCAGGTTCATGGGTACGCCGCCCATCACCAGCGAGTGCAGCTGCTTTGATGGCTGAAGGTGCACGCACCTCACCCCTCCTGTGTATCAACTCTCCCACTCTACTGTCCCGTCCACACACTCACCTCGCCTCTCAGGTTCATGGGTACGCCGCCCATCACCAGCGAGTGCAGCTGCTTTGATGGCTGAAGGTGCACGCACCTCACCCCTCCTGTGTATCAACTCTCCCACTCTACTGTCCCGTCCACACACTCACCTCGCCTCTCAGGTTCATGGGCACGCCGCCCATCACCAGCGAGTGCAGCTGCTTTGATGGCTGAAGGTGCACGCACCTCAACCCTCCTGTGTATCAACTCTCCCACTCTACTGTCCCGTCCACACACTCACCTCGCCTCTCAGGTTCATGGGCACGCCGCCCATCACCAGCGAGTGCAGCTGCTTTGATGGCTGAAGGTGCACGCACCTCACCCCTCCTGTGTATCAACTCTCCCACTCTACTGTCCCGTCCACACACTCACCTCGCCTCTCAGGTTCATGGGCACGCCGCCCATCACCAGCGAGTGCAGCTGCTTTGATGGCTGAAGGTGCACGCACCTCACCCCTCCTGTGTATCAACTCTCCCACTCTACTGTCCCGTCCACACACTCACCTCGCCTCTCAGGTTCATGGGTACGCCGCCCATCACCAGCGAGTGCAGCTGCTTTGATGGCTGAAGGTGCACGCACCTCACCCCTCCTGTGTATCAACTCTCCCACTCTACTGTCCCGTCCACACACTCACCTCGCCTCTCAGGTTCATGGGTACGCCGCCCATCACCAGCGAGTGCAGCTGCTTTGATGGCTGAAGGTGCACGCACCTCACCCCTCCTGTGTATCAACTCTCCCACTCTACTGTCCCGTCCACCCACTCACCTCGCCTCTCAGGTTCATGGGCACGCCGCCCATCACCAGCGAGTGCAGCTGCTTTGATGGCTGAAGGTGCACGCACCTCACCCCTCCTGTGTATCAACTCTCCCACTCTACTGTCCCGTCCACCCTCTCACCTCGCCTCGCAGGTTCATGGGCACGCCGCCCATCACCAGCGAGTGCAGCTGCTTTGATGGCTGAAGGTGCACGCACCTCACCCCTCCTGTGTATCAACTCTCCCACTCTACTGTCCCGTCCACACACTCACCTCGCCTCGCAGGTTCATGGGCACGCCGCCCATCACCAGCGAGTGCAGCTGCTTTGATGGCTGAAGGTGCACGCACCTCACCCCTCCTGTGTATCAACTCTCCCACTCTACTGTCCCGTCCACACACTCACCTCGCCTCTCAGGTTCATGGGCACGCCGCCCATCACCAGCGAGTGCAGCTGCTTTGATGGCTGAAGGTGCACGCACCTCACCCCTCCTGTGTATCAACTCTCCCACTCTACTGTCCCGTCCACCCACTCACCTCGCCTCTCAGGTTCATGGGTACGCCGCCCATCACCAGCGAGTGCAGCTGCTTTGATGGCTGAAGGTGCACGCACCTCACCCCTCCTGTGTATCAACTCTCCCACTCTACTGTCCCGTCCACACACTCACCTCGCCTCTCAGGTTCATGGGTACGCCGCCCATCACCAGCGAGTGCAGCTGCTTTGATGGCTGAAGGTGCACGCACCTCACCCCTCCTGTGTATCAACTCTCCCACTCTACTGTCCCGTCCACACACTCACCTCGCCTCTCAGGTTCATGGGCACGCCGCCCATCACCAGCGAGTGCAGCTGCTTTGATGGCTGAAGGTGCACGCACCTCACCCCTCCTGTGTATCAACTCTCCCACTCTACTGTCCCGTCCACCCTCTCACCTCGCCTCGCAGGTTCATGGGCACGCCGCCCATCACCAGCGAGTGCAGCTGCTTTGATGGCTGAAGGTGCACGCACCTCACCCCTCCTGTGTATCAACTCTCCCACTCTACTGTCCCGTCCACACACTCACCTCGCCTCTCAGGTTCATGGGTACGCCGCCCATCACCAGCGAGTGCAGCTGCTTTGATGGCTGAAGGTGCACGCACCTCACCCCTCCTGTGTATCAACTCTCCCACTCTACTGTCCCGTCCACACACTCACCTCGCCTCTCAGGTTCATGGGCACGCCGCCCATCACCAGCGAGTGCAGCTGCTTTGATGGCTGAAGGTGCACGCACCTCACCCCTCCTGTGTATCAACTCTCCCACTCTACTGTCCCGTCCACCCACTCACCTCGCCTCTCAGGTTCATGGGTACGCCGCCCATCACCAGCGAGTGCAGCTGCTTTGATGGCTGAAGGTGCACGCACCTCACCCCTCCTGTGTATCAACTCTCCCACTCTACTGTCCCGTCCACACACTCACCTCGCCTCTCAGGTTCATGGGCACGCCGCCCATCACCAGCGAGTGCAGCTGCTTTGATGGCTGAAGGTGCACGCACCTCACCCCTCCTGTGTATCAACTCTCCCACTCTACTGTCCCGTCCACCCACTCACCTCGCCTCTCAGGTTCATGGGTACGCCGCCCATCACCAGCGAGTGCAGCTGCTTTGATGGCTGAAGGTGCACGCACCTCACCCCTCCTGTGTATCAACTCTCCCACTCTACTGTCCCGTCCACACACTCACCTCGCCTCTCAGGTTCATGGGTACGCCGCCCATCACCAGCGAGTGCAGCTGCTTTGATGGCTGAAGGTGCACGCACCTCACCCCTCCTGTGTATCAACTCTCCCACTCTACTGTCCCGTCCACACACTCACCTCGCCTCTCAGGTTCATGGGCACGCCGCCCATCACCAGCGAGTGCAGCTGCTTTGATGGCTGAAGGTGCACGCACCTCACCCCTCCTGTGTATCAACTCTCCCACTCTACTGTCCCGTCCACACACTCACCTCGCCTCTCAGGTTCATGGGTACGCCGCCCATCACCAGCGAGTGCAGCTTCTTTGATGGCTGAAGGTGCACGCACCTCACCCCTCCTGTGTATCAACTCTCCCACTCTACTGTCCCGTCCACACACTCACCTCGCCTCTCAGGTTCATGGGCACGCCGCCCATCACCAGCGAGTGCAGCTGCTTTGATGGCTGAAGGTGCACGCACCTCACCCCTCCTGTGTATCAACTCTCCCACTCTACTGTCCCGTCCACCCACTCACCTCGCCTCTCAGGTTCATGGGTACGCCGCCCATCACCAGCGAGTGCAGCTGCTTTGATGGCTGAAGGTGCACGCACCTCACCCCTCCTGTGTATCAACTCTCCCACTCTACTGTCCCGTCCACCCACTCACCTCGCCTCTCAGGTTCATGGGCACGCCGCCCATCACCAGCGAGTGCAGCTGCTTTGATGGCTGAAGGTGCACGCACCTCACCCCTCCTGTGTATCAACTCTCCCACTCTACTGTCCCGTCCACCCGCTCACCTCGCCTCTCAGGTTCATGGGTACGCCGCCCATCACCAGCGAGTGCAGCTGCTTTGATGGCTGAAGGTGCACGCACCTCACCCCTCCTGTGTATCAACTCTCCCACTCTACTGTCCCGTCCACCCACTCACCTCGCCTCTCAGGTTCATGGGTACGCCGCCCATCACCAGCGAGTGCAGCTGCTTTGATGGCTGAAGGTGCACGCACCTCACCCCTCCTGTGTATCAACTCTCCCACTCTACTGTCCCGTCCACCCACTCACCTCGCCTCTCAGGTTCATGGGCACGCCGCCCATCACCAGCGAGTGCAGCTGCTTTGATGGCTGAAGGTGCACGCACCTCACCCCTCCTGTGTATCAACTCTCCCACTCTACTGTCCCGTCCACCCTCTCACCTCGCCTCGCAGGTTCATGGGCACGCCGCCCATCACCAGCGAGTGCAGCTGCTTTGATGGCTGAAGGTGCACGCACCTCACCCCTCCTGTGTATCAACTCTCCCACTCTACTGTCCCGTCCACACACTCACCTCGCCTCGCAGGTTCATGGGCACGCCGCCCATCACCAGCGAGTGCAGCTGCTTTGATGGCTGAAGGTGCACGCACCTCACCCCTCCTGTGTATCAACTCTCCCACTCTACTGTCCCGTCCACCCACTCACCTCGCCTCTCAGGTTCATGGGTACGCCGCCCATCACCAGCGAGTGCAGCTGCTTTGATGGCTGAAGGTGCACGCACCTCACCCCTCCTGTGTATCAACTCTCCCACTCTACTGTCCCGTCCACCCACTCACCTCGCCTCTCAGGTTCATGGGCACGCCGCCCATCACCAGCGAGTGCAGCTGCTTTGATGGCTGAAGGTGCACGCACCTCACCCCTCCTGTGTATCAACTCTCCCACTCTACTGTCCCGTTCACCCTCTCACCTCGCCTCGCAGGTTCATGGGCACGCCGCCCATCACCAGCGAGTGCAGCTGCTTTGATGGCTGAAGGTGCACGCACCTCACCCCTCCTGTGTATCAACTCTCCCACTCTACTGTCCCGTCCACACACTCACCTCGCCTCTCAGGTTCATGGGCACGCCGCCCATCACCAGCGAGTGCAGCTGCTTTGATGGCTGAAGGTGCACGCACCTCACCCCTCCTGTGTATCAACTCTCCCACTCTACTGTCCCGTCCACACACTCACCTCGCCTCTCAGGTTCATGGGCACGCCGCCCATCACCAGCGAGTGCAGCTGCTTTGATGGCTGAAGGTGCACGCACCTCACCCCTCCTGTGTATCAACTCTCCCACTCTACTGTCCCGTCCACCCACTCACCTCGCCTCTCAGGTTCATGGGTACGCCGCCCATCACCAGCGAGTGCAGCTGCTTTGATGGCTGAAGGTGCACGCACCTCACCCCTCCTGTGTATCAACTCTCCCACTCTACTGTCCCGTCCACACACTCACCTCGCCTCTCAGGTTCATGGGCACGCCGCCCATCACCAGCGAGTGCAGCTGCTTTGATGGCTGAAGGTGCACGCACCTCATCCCTCCTGTGTATCAACTCTCCCACTCTACTGTCCCGTCCACCCACTCACCTCGCCTCTCAGGTTCATGGGTACGCCGCCCATCACCAGCGAGTGCAGCTGCTTTGATGGCTGAAGGTGCACGCACCTCACCCCTCCTGTGTATCAACTCTCCCACTCTACTGTCCCGTCCACACACTCACCTCGCCTCTCAGGTTCATGGGCACGCCGCCCATCACCAGCGAGTGCAGCTGCTTTGATGGCTGAAGGTGCACGCACCTCACCCCTCCTGTGTATCAACTCTCCCACTCTACTGTCCCGTCCACCCACTCACCTCGCCTCTCAGGTTCATGGGTACGCCGCCCATCACCAGCGAGTGCAGCTGCTTTGATGGCTGAAGGTGCACGCACCTCACCCCTCCTGTGTATCAACTCTCCCACTCTACTGTCCCGTCCACACACTCACCTCGCCTCGCAGGTTCATGGGCACGCCGCCCATCACCAGCGAGTGCAGCTGCTTTGATGGCTGAAGGTGCACGCACCTCACCCCTCCTGTGTATCAACTCTCCCACTCTACTGTCCCGTCCACACACTCACCTCGCCTCTCAGGTTCATGGGTACGCCGCCCATCACCAGCGAGTGCAGCTGCTTTGATGGCTGAAGGTGCACGCACCTCACCCCTCCTGTGTATCAACTCTCCCACTCTACTGTCCCGTCCACCCACTCACCTCGCCTCTCAGGTTCATGGGCACGCCGCCCATCACCAGCGAGTGCAGCTGCTTTGATGGCTGAAGGTGCACGCACCTCACCCCTCCTGTGTATCAACTCTCCCACTCTACTGTCCCGTCCACACACTCACCTCGCCTCTCAGGTTCATGGGTACGCCGCCCATCACCAGCGAGTGCAGCTGCTTTGATGGCTGAAGGTGCACGCACCTCAACCCTCCTGTGTATCAACTCTCCCACTCTACTGTCCCGTCCACCCACTCACCTCGCCTCTCAGGTTCATGGGTACGCCGCCCATCACCAGCGAGTGCAGCTGCTTTGATGGCTGAAGGTGCACGCACCTCACCCCTCCTGTGTATCAACTCTCCCACTCTACTGTCCCGTCCACCCACTCACCTCGCCTCTCAGGTTCATGGGCACGCCGCCCATCACCAGCGAGTGCAGCTGCTTTGATGGCTGAAGGTGCACGCACCTCACC